GTAAAGCTGAAGGAATAATACTGCCATACACAATTTTCTTGAATATTATTCATCTGCTTACTGCATACCTGTTTTCTCTTTGTTTCTCTACACTTCTCATTTTATCATTAGAAATAAAGAACCTGAATGTGCACAAGTCCATGGGACCTGATGAAATCCATCCACGGGTCCTGAAGGAGCTGGCGAATGAAGTTGCTAAGCCACTGTCCATCATACTTGGAAAAGCATGGCAGTCAGGTGAAGTTCCGAACCACTGGAAAAAGGGAAATATAACCCCCATTTTCAAGAAGGGGAAAATGGATGACCCAGGGAATTACAGACCAGTCAGTCTCACCCTTGTGCCTGGCAAAATCTTGGAGCAGATTCTCCTGGAGGGCATGTCAAGGCACATGAAAAACAACAAAGTGCTTGGTGACAGCCAGCATGGCTTCACTAAGGAGAAATCCTGCCTGACCAATTTGGTGGCCTTCTATGACAGGGCTACGGAGCTGATAGATAAGGGTAGAGCAGCTGATGTCATCTGCCTGGACTTGTGCAAAGTGTTCGACACTGTCCCACATGACATCCTTGTCTCTAAATCGGAGAAGCATCAACTTGATAGGTGGACTACTCAGTGGATAAAGAACTGGCCGGATGACCACACACAAAGAGTTGTGGTCAATGGCTCAATGTCCGGCTGTAGACCAGTAACGAGTGGTGTCCCCCAGGGATCAGTGTTGGGACTGGTCTTGTTCAACATCTTCGTGGGTAACATGGACAGCGGGACTGAGTGCGCCCTCAGCAAGTTTGCCAACGACACCAAGCTGTGTGGTTCGGTTGATACGCTGGAGGGAAAGAATGCCATCCAGAGAGAACCTGACACGCTTGTGAGGTGGGCTGATGCCAACCTCGTGAAGTTTAACCATGACAAGTGCAAGGTTCTACAGCTGGGTCGGAGCAATCCCGGGCACAGCTACAAGCTGGGCAGAGAAGAGATTTAGAGCAGCCCTGCGGAGAAGGACTTGGGGGTGCTGGTCATTGAGAAAATGAACATGAGCCAGCAGTGTGCATTTGCAGCCCAGAAAGCCAACCGTATCCTGAGCTGCATCAAAAGGAGAGTGACCAGCAGGTTGAAGGAGGTGATCCTGCCCCTTTATTCTGTTCTCGTGAGACCTCACTTGGAGTACTGTGTACAGTTCTGGTGTCCTCAACATAAAAAGGACATGGATCTGTTGGAGCAAGTCCAGAGGACAGCCACAAGAATGATCAGGGGACTGGAGCACCTTCCATACGAAGATCGGCTGAGAAAGTTGGGGCTGTTCAGCCTGGGGAAGAGAAGGCTGCGTGGAGACCTCATAGCAGCCTTCCAGTATCTGAAGGGGGCATATAAGGATGCTGGGGAGGGACTCTTCATTAGGGACTGTAGTGGTAGGACAAGGGGTAATGGGTTAAAACTTAAACAGGGGGAGTTTAGATTGGATATAAGGAGGAAATTCTTTCCTAGTAGGGTGGTGAGGCACTGGAATAGGTTGCCCAAGGAGGTTGTGAATGCTTCATCCCTGGCAGTGTTCAATGCTAGGTTGGACGAGGCCTTGGGTAATATGGTTTAGAGCGAGGTGTCCCTGCCCATGGCAGGGGGGTTGGAACTTGATGATCTTAAGGTCCTTTCCAACCCTAACTATTCTATGATTCTATTGCAAGGACAGGAAAAATCACCTTGAGTATAATATGTGAGCAACAAGCAACTATAACAGAGTACAGTTTGGTTTGGTTTTTTTTTTTTGTTACTAAGAGGATTTTGCAAAATCACACCATGTATGGATATGCTTTGTGTTCTCAGTACTTGTGGAATTTTTCAACCAGTTTACACTGATAGAGCTAGCTATATGATCTTAGGAAAAGAAATTATACTCCTTAAGGTTTGAAGAAGTGAACAAACAAAGACAAGAGATGGCTCTTGGAGGCATCCCTTGAGGTGAAGTGCTTGTATGAACTCATCCCATATTAGACCTTAGAGTCCTCCTTGAACACTGGAAACATTTCAGTTTGATGTTGCACATTAGATGAAACTAGAACAGTTTACCGGTAGGAAAAACAAAAATATGGGAAACCAGGATGCATTTATTCTACTTTTGGTGCTGTTTTGCAAGACGTGAATAACGGATCGACAGTCAATAGCTTGAAAATAACACTCCAGGAATATTCAGAAGGAAGGAAAGTTGGAACATATTTAGTATCTACACTTTACTATGTGTAGGTGATGGAGCTTTTACAGAACTGCTCTTTTCACTCAGCCCCTGGACACTTTCAACTGAGGCAGTATATATTTAAAATTATAAAAAAGTCTTAGTCACATTACCAGAAGTTTAAAACAAGGTGAAGATGCTTCCACTTGGTCATCAGTCTTCAGAACATGCATGACACTGACCTCAGTTTAATCCAAAATACCAAGTCATTTAAGTTTTTTTCATTGTCACAGACAAACAAAACATGGGTTCTCACATGGAATACAGAGCTGCAACAAAACTTACATCCTGACTATAGTGGCCTACTCTGAGGCTGAAACAGCAGATTCTCTCTCAATATACCTTTCATGGATATTATCACTTAAATATTTTGTTGGCATATGTAAACAGCTGTTTATAAAAAGCTATCACAAACATCAGTAAGAAAAATGAAAATAACTGTGCTTGACTAGAAAATTGGGTATTAGTTACACTTCTGATCACAAGATTTGCCAAGGGCTTTATTTAACCACCATTCAGGCCAGTCAACATTCCACATACTTCTGAAGCTTTAAAACATGTTTGTTTATACAGATTATGATACCACTGGTAACCATGATGAGTCACCTTGTTTTCACTAAAATAGAATGAGCTGTTAGAATCGCTTAAATACAGAATTGAACAACACAGGTATTCCTTTTTTATCTCAGGAATTTCTGGTGATAATTAGAAAACGTCTTTGTTACAGAACTATCACATGTCAATCCACAGTAAATTCAGAATTTGGGGTCTTTTGAGGCATTTATTCCATTTCATCATGCCAGTGTGTTACTTTGCGGGTCGTTTAGGTAGATGAATTAGAATGTGGAAAAAAATCATGGTCTTAAAACCTGCACTGTGGTTAGAAGAGTTTCAAAGAGAGACACCTTTATCTTAAAGAAGTATGGGGTTTTCTACTTTCCCAAGCAGAAGTGTTTTTCTCTAAAAAGCATAATGTTCTGATGAATGACCTACTACTTTGAAGTGAAAAACAAAAACAAAAAAAAATAGTATAAATCAACTTTTTAATTTATTTAGATCAAGGAAGGGAGAGTTTACTTAATTGGAGAGATTATTACTAGAAAAAGCCACTGGAGGATAGAAGCATAAGTGTGTCAAACAAGATGACAACAAATGGTATATTACTATCATTCTTCTTTTCCCCCCCTTTTTTTTCCATTTGAAAATCTTATGTTTCTGATTGTAGGGCAACTTCTCAAAAAAAACAACAGCAGCAATATGAAAAAAAAAAGAAGACACGTTATATGACTGGGAATACAGCAGAACAGAGAAGTATTTTCTCCATGGTTCTAAAGTTTAAAAATAAATATGGTAATAATTATAAAGTTGATATTTCCATTAAAAACAATCAAGTTTCATCCTCAAATTATCATACACCAGACCTATTTTCCAGCAGAGCTTCCTGTTAGCTAGGAACTCCCCACATGTCACAGTCTTATCACAATAAAAGGTGGCAGTCTCATCAGAAAGAAACATGGTTGGCTCACATCAGCATTTTATTTTGACTCAGGAAATCAGTTTTGAACTAAGTTTCCTGGTTGTCCTCAGTTACCCAGCTTTGATTTCCACATTTTGATTTGCACTGGGGAGCCATCATCTCAGAGTTTGCTAACTGAATTCCTTTTTATGAATCCAAGAACACCTACAATGTACTCTACCCACTAAAAAGCATTCGGTACCCTTGGGCCCATCCAGCCCAAACTAGATTAATTTGAAGTCAACCCCCTGAAACCGAGTAGATATCAAGTTCTCTGACCTAACTTGTTCATTCTAGAACTACCCCTATTGCTTCACACCACAAAAAATAATGACTTTTTTTCAGCCCTTAGGCAATGCTGTTTCTTCAGTAATATCACCACTGCAATTCAGGAGTTATATATAAAAATGAAAAGCTTTAATTAATTTGTGCCTATGCTTAATTTAGCAACATTTTAATAGATTACTGCTTGGAATTAAAAATAATTCCAAGTAAGAAAAAGTTCACATCTAGTAGCTTCTTTGAGGAAGCACAGTTAATGAACTGATCTTTTCATCTTAGAAAACAGCATTAAACAACAAATTGAGTCCAAAATTAATGACACACAACAAACTTACTTTGAATAGCTTTATTATTGTCAAAAGCTTCAAATGACCTCATAATTTACCTTAACTAATATTCTAAATTTACAAAAAGATGCTGCAGAACAGGATAGCAAGACTGATTGTAAACATGCAGAAAAATCACTTTCCTTCTCCATATGAACAGAATTGTATGTTTGTATAGACACTATCTTTGATACATGGAATATGAAAGGCTGAGAAGAGACAGCAGTAAGAAAAGAAGCATGTAGCAAGTATAAGTGTTCATGACTGCTGCTCTCTATCCACACTTTACAAAAACTATTTATTGAAGTCCTCATCTAAGATAATTTTCTATTTTCAACTAGAAAAAACCCAACAGGTTCAGAGTTTGACCACTGCTACTGTACAGCATGAAATCCACATTCCTGCTATAAGATGCATAATTACTGTCTGCTTGTCTTTACAGGACTGTAGGAGACTCAAACTTCCATATTGTTACTGTACTGGTAAAAGAAAAAAAATTGTACTGCTAAAATTAAATCTGTAACTTCATTTAAACAAAATATTTGTAATTCCATTTCTTTTTTTATACACAGAAAGTCAAAGCAGTCATTCCTCATAAAGCTCCTGAGATAGAAATATCATTACACCTTTATATTTTTTAATGATACTTACTGTTCTAAGAGTTGATCATGTTTTCTTAAAGCATCCTTTTCAGCAATAACTGCTCTTTCTTTTTCAGCAACAGCATTATCTCTTGCTTCTCTCAAATTTCTGAAGGAAACAAAGTTACTCTGTCAAGAATCTGTTAGGAAATAGACTGTTTTGCTGCATGAATTATACTGACTGATCTGAACTTCAGTACTACCTTCTTCAGTTCTCACAGAATAATATAGGAGTCTATCTAGATGTCTGTTCATTATACAGGCTTTACTTTAATTATTTTCATATATACCAGCAAAGTCTCCAGTTCTGAAATTCTAAAAACAAACCACCTATGCACATGTACAAACATATTAATAAGTTTAGACTATTAAAACTACAAATTACTTTTTATAGGCATCAACTAAAAGCCAACAAGTTTGATACTTTATACTTCACTAATAAATAAGGGAATGCTTTCCCCCTAGCTGAGATAGTTCACAACTTTAATGACAGAGCAGGAAAAGATTAGCTAGGCATAGAAATCCTACTTCCACATACAACTAATTGGCTAATTAGTTGTAGATATATAGGTTATTGCATGTCATTGCTGTCTCCTGGTTTCTACTGCTAGCATTGTTTTTGATCTGCACAGAACTGTAAAACAACACAAGCATTTTATTGCAATCAATCTATACTTTTCCATTTTTTTAACCAAGAATGAGACAGGACTTTCAAACTCACTATTATTTCACTGACACAAATGAGAATAATACATACAGTACTTGTGTTAAAAAATTATACAGGTATTAATAGCCTGTTAAGCTGTTGCCTGCATGTAGCATAACATTGTAATAAACTGTACTAAGGGGAACTACTGCTTAGATAGTGCCTATAAACTGTACCTCCATTATTTAGTGCAACACGTAACAGCCAATTTGCAGAGATTGTTGAAGGGCTGTTGAGGACCTACCTTATAAACATTTTTGAGGGTACTCCCAGTTTGCTCCTGTTACTTGAACACTCACTAGTATTTGGAACGTATGAAATGATCTTAAAGGTTTCTTTCAATTTAATTTCACCTAAGAGGAATCCTGTTCATATGCTACAAATGTGAGCAGAATACCACAAATCCAAGCACAAACTGCGAGGGCAAGTAAAAAGATTGCAAGCATCAATGACTAGGGAATTTCCCTTGTCATTGCAAGCAGCAACAACTAAGATGATAAGCAGCAAAGACTAGGGGGGGTTTCATTTCAAAACCACACTCTTCATCTAAACTGTTAATGTAGATGCAACCAAGCTCTTCCTACTGAAGCTATTTGTTCCCCTCTCCCCCCCAGAAACTTTCTGAATTAAAGCAGAGTGGAATTCTAGTCTCAAGCAAATTTTGAAAACATAAAAGTTAAAGATAGAGAGCTAAATGGAAAATTACTAATCCATGTAAATGTTATCCTAGGTTGTTTTAGCTGCACTAAAGGTATATAATTCTTGGATAAAAGACTATGTTCTAGATGAAGGTAACGTTATCACTGGTATATTTCTCAACTCAAGTAATTAATATGAATAATTACTTATGAAGAACCAACATCAAAATTATGTGACAGTTAAGTGGCTATGAGAGAAAGAAAACAAAATTTTCTTTAAAAAATGAATTGCTGGGCCAGAGAATTTACTGATGAAATTCAGGGACTGATCATCAGAGCAAATCCTTTAGAACAGACTCATACCAAATATAAGAACATTGTAATTATTTTTGTTGACAGCATTAAGATCAAGCATATTATGACTTGGAGAAGAGTACAATACTGTATCCTTCCGGGGAAGCAGAAGCACAAGGGCATCTATATTAGCTTTTGAAATAAATCTCTTTAAATAAACTGCCATTTATTGCAGTTCACACCCGTAAAGTATTTCAGAGTGCACAAACTGTATTCCAGTCAGCTTGAACAAGTCAGAAAATGTGCTCAGGGACAGCATCTAACATGCTCAAAACTACTAAATTGTGTTTGATCTGTACGAAAAGACTGCAGCTAATCCAAAGTCAAACCTCATGGAGGCATTCATGTGCCCTTTCAATCTGCTCATACTTGCTAATGCAAACATAGCCAATGCTTACTACAACCAAGCAAGTGAAACTGATCCTAAATAAATTAAGAACGAAAGCATCACCTTATTATAGATTTGTCATCCCCCTCCCATCTTAGCTTCTTGAACTGAATCATCCAAGTGTAAAGTAAGTGCCAGTAAATTCAAGGGAAACATCTAGCTCATCAGCCTTTGCAAAGCGTTAAGGAGCAAGAGCAACTAGTATTAGATTAGCTTAGCTGTACACATTCCACACTTCAAGCCTGAAGAAGAAACCAGCATCTTAGTTTTATTTTCAGTCAAAATCAGCATCTTATCACATCACACATTCACGGCAAAGTGATTTGCTCACAATTTCAGGTTGCATTTGTCTCACCATTAAGGGGCATGTCAGATTGGGAAGCACTGTCTCATGGGGGATTTTTTTAGTATTTTGTAGAAAAAGCATATGCTAAAAATTATTTTTTTTGCAAAATATTAAATCAAAACTAAGGAATTTACATTTCAGAAGTAATTATTTCAAAATGAGGAACAAAACTTCTGTAAATTGGTTCCAGATACAAATGAAATATCTTTCAGTAATTTTCTCAGTGATATACAGACCCTTTGTCAAATTTCCATGAACAGTGAAGGTTTAAATTCATACTTTGCAATTCAAAATAGATTTGCGTATAGGAAGTGGTGTGGATTTATGTGTATATGCGTAATACATATATTTTAATCACACTTGCAAAACTACATGATGATGTAATTTCTTTTAATTAGAACCTTTCAGTTGACTGGAAGACAGACAGCAGGAGTCACGTTCTTTTTTCACTCTTCCGAGCAGTAACAAAACTACCTATTAGAGGAACAGATGCTGATGCCACAAATATCTTTTTACTACAGTCATTTCCTTCTCCACATAAGACACTTTGAGGACATCTGCGATGAAGTTATAATGAATTATTAAACGCTCCTTCCATTTTAAAGGAATAAAAGGGGCAAAAAGCAAGCTTAAAAAGAAATGCAGTACTAAAAGCCCAAATCCTTAGATCCTTAAAGGCTTATATATGTGCCAAACTCTGCATGTAATTCTATGTAATTCAACAAGACAACACACATACAAAATTCAATACGCGGGTCTCTGCAGGACTAGGATCTTCTTCAAAAGAGATTTTATAATAATTTCTAGGAAATCAATGCTTTCTTGAATCATAAAACTGTAAATCTCAGATAATTTGTTTTATAAAGACATAAATCTTATTAGTTTCCATTATTTTTTCTACTTTACTTTCTTCATCAGCACCTTCTCCTCCGGTTTTCTGGCTCAGTTTCAAGATTGCCCATACAGCGTGACAGGTAAATCAACATATTTTGTGTTCATTAACTAAAATTGTACATCTGAACAAACTTCAAACCACTCTTGTTTATCTAGAACATGAATTTTAATAATCATAGAATCACAGAATGGCTTGTGTTGGAAAGTTATCTAGTACACTCCCCTTGCAATAAGCAGGGACATCTTCAAGTAGACCAGGTTGCCCAGAACCACACCCAGCCTGGCCTTGAATGTCTCCAGGGATGGTGCACCCTTCACCCCTCTGGGCAACCTGTGCCAGGATTTCACCAAACTCCATTGTAAAAAATTTCTTTCTCACATCCAGCCTGAATCTTGCCTCTTTCACTTTAAAGCCATCACCTCTTGTCCTGTCACAACAGACCCTGATTAAGAGTCTCTCCCCATATTTCTTATAGGCATATTTTAAGAACCGAAAGGCTGCAGTAGGATCTCCCTGGAGCCTTCCCTTCTCCAGGATGAACAACCCCAACTCTCTCAGCATTTCCTCACAGGAGAGATGCTCCATCCCTCTGGTAATACTTTTCATTGACAATGTTGAATATCCATAACTTAATAATAAATATATTTAAAAGTGTACAAGCGTAATTTCATTTTAGTTCTTACAAGATTCTCATCAATTTTATAACTGAACTTAAATTCTCACCTTTTGTTTACCTCTCAATGAGCCAGTCAACTAGAATTATACCTATGAAAATAACAGTACTTGGTCATTTTTGCCCTAATTAGGTTATTGCCTCCATGTTACTTACCTGTTTTCACGTTCATACATCTCTTTTGAAGCACTTTTTAGTTGCTCAATTTCTTGATTTGTTTTCAACCTTATTTGTTCCAACTCTTCATGCAGTCTCTTTTCATATTCTGTTTTATAGTGGTCTCTGTAAATAAACAAATACCCAACACGCAAATTGGAAATTAACTGCAATCACCAAAATATCAAAGCTTCAGATAACAGCTGTACAAGTAGAGCAAAGCACTTCTTGATTTTACTTTTTATTTTCATTTTTACTAATTCTCCTCACAAACTGCTTGAAATACATGTTAGCCTATGTTGTTATGCAAACCGAGCAGAAATCCATCAGGAATAAACAATATTTAACTGGGAAGAAATAAAAGCCTTTTGCATACTGTTCAAATTTGTTATAAGTAATTTGACATTGATTAATCATGCAACATTATGCTTAAGATTATTCCAGCAATTCTTTGTCAGCCTCTACATGAGTGTTTGTATTAACTAACCACTTAAACCCCCCAAATTAATTCCTTGCTTTCTGAAGTTTTCTGCCGTCTTCATCACTGGGTAAGCATTAACTAACTTGTTAATTTACAATACTGCCATGCTACTCTAGGACTTTGTAGTGTACTAGCTGCACCTTATTAGGGAAAATACATCATAAGAAGCTTTGCAGATTACATACTGTGGAGATTCATGAATTAAAAAAAAAACAAAACAAAACAAGATTTGGAAATTTATCCTTCAAAATGACATAAAAGCTTAAATACGTATTTTAATTAATTTATAAACAGCAGATATGAGAAGATTCCAGGATAAAAGAATTTCCTTTCAGAATAATACTGACATCTTTTTGTAACTTTGGTAGCCCATGGCAGACTGTAGGGAACCCCTTAATGAATTTCTTCTACAAAATTACAAGAAACCCAAGCTTAAATTGTAAGTACTCAACAGCTAAGGAATGTTAAAATTTTATAGTTAATGTTCATGGATAATCAAACAGCAATGAAGCAACTGGTAGAAATTACAGGTTTGGAAATAAAAGCATTTTCATGAAGAAATGTGCATTTACAACTGTAAAATGCTTTAGATTTCTTCTGATTTCCAACTGTGTGATAGCCCATAAGTTTTTTTATAAATCAGTACTTGAGCTGGCCAAAAACTACTGCAAGTGAAATAAAATGCCCAAAATATTTAAATATCAGAAGGCTTCCTGTCCAGGTTTTCCTGTTTTCTTTGTATTGAGACACTGAATTTCAGTTGACCCTTTACATTTATCTCCTCTCCTTCCTCACCTATGCCACACTACAGTAAAATATTTCATTAATATCTCTGATGCAATTAAGAAGCTTACAATTAAAAAAAAATAAATCAACAAAACAAACTCCCCCAAACCACTGTACCAGAATGTAAGGTCCCCATCAGAAACTGTTCCTTTTCTTTCTGTATTATTTATATGGCTAAACATGTAGGGAAAAAGAAAAAAGACTGTGGAAGATCAGGACCATTGGATACAATTCTTACATGCAGAACCAATGAGCATTACCATTTTCTTCACTTTCTTACACAATTTGCTTTTGCCATGACTCCTTGCCAAAAAAAAATATTCTCTTCATTGCAGAAATTCCCCCTTCCCTCCCATGGCAAGGCTGACAAGAGTCAGGAAGGTTCAGTGAAAACATTCAAAGAATCTGGAAAAGTCTTAAACACCCCCAGTGATGTCACTAGGACACTTATCTTTATGATGACTAAAATAAACAAATGGTATAGTAAAGGGCATATTCCGAGTATAGAGCTTAACTGCCCTGCCAGTGCCTTTTAACAAACACCGAGTTGCTGCTGGAGCAAAGCCCCAACAATTGCAATTTTTATTCCTGACTTGCTGTTACAGTCTTTTGCTTGAGCAGTAATTAAAAATGGTTTTGCCTTATCAAGTTGTTTCTTCGTCTTCAAGCTGCAGGCTTTAATGAGCTTCTTTCGGGGCCTAATATACATAAGGCTTTACACTGTGAATAAACTAAATGTGATCTGAGCATCTCAACACAACTATGGATTGTGTTTTAAGATTAAACATACAAAGGGAGATCTTCTTTGTTGGTCTGTGCTTACACATAGATTCCCAAGAACAGTAGCTGTGAGCTGCTGCCATTCATCTTGCTACAATCTCAAACTATTCTAAGTGTGTCTCTCTTAAATTTCAGCAAGTTGATCCCTCAAGTCCTAAATTCCTAAATTCTGTAATTTTCTAACTACAGTACCCCAATGCCAGCAGTTCTGACAGAGACCAGAAGGTGAATTATTCTTTAAACCTAAAAATAGGTACTTGAGTTTGTTTTCATAATCTTTATTCCTGAACTACAGCATCGAAGAGATCCAGATGTGAAGTGAGCACTAAAAAAGTCTCAAATTCTTCAAACAGTAGCAAATAGAAGCTTATTACCCCAAACTGATTGTCATTTCCATATAGAGCTGAGTACTGTAGAATGTTCATCAGTTTTTAGTTTTCTCCTGCTCTGCTTTTCTACCTCTTTAATTTACCTAACAAATAAATAGGATTCTGTAGAACTCTCTATAAGAAAACTAATTCTGCAGATATTTCACCTGAGAGACGTATGGTTTAAATTGCTGAACATACAGAAATGCCCACTATGGGATGTAGCCTCAGAAGATGCACACAAATTGTGTACATGTGTGTGGAAAAATGTAAAGAAAGGACAGCTACTGCAGTATTGCAGATCACATGAAGAATTTAGAGCACTTGACAAAAGAACACTATTACCCACATTTTACAAAAGAAAACTTACATTAACATTTTTACATTTCACATCAGATCTTTACATTATGAAATGACTCATTCAAGGTTTGTCAGCATCAGAATCTCAAATAAAACTTAGGCTGCCAAAGCTGCAGAGCAGTCCTACAAATGCTGCTCAGTGCCCTCCACCATGTTCTCTGTTATGCTGTATTGTCCTTGCAAAAGACAATAATGGTCACTAGAAGACAGCAAACACACCTGCATTATTCATTACAGTTAATATCTGTCCTATGAAAGTTCGCATCATGAAGACAGTCACCAACACCAATGATATCAAGAGAGAGATTTGGTAATAATACAGGATCCCAATGACAGTATCGAGATCTCTAAAGGCAAAGTACAAGTCACAGAATTTCTCTTTAGCTGGCATCAAAATGCAGAGGTCAAGAGACCTCTGATGTTCCAGAGGACAGAGAAGGAGGCTTGCACAGTATTCCAAACAGAGCCAAGCTACATATGTCTCTTTCTAGTTTACTCGTATGGAGACAGCTCTGTAAAAGTGCCTCTACATCATTCTTGCAGGATTAGGATTTCACAGTGGTTTTCCAAAAACAGAAATTTAGCTACAAGAGTCACTGCTTGCAAGCACATTTCTAGAGGAATATGGTTAAGACCTACATGATTTTTATAGACCCCATTTAAAAGCAAGTCTTAAAAATTTATTTAAACTGCAGAAGTTCCAGGTGAACATAGTTCTGAGACATACTCATTTAAAACAAATAAAAAAAGATTAAGTGAAAGGAAAAATAGTATTAAAAGCACTTCTGATAATGGCTGGAACTCCACAGCTGGTAATTTCTGTAGAGTGCTCTTCTATTTCCATTTAGATAACAATTTGTCTTTTAGTTGTATTACTGGAAAGTCACATTAGCACACCTCATCTTAGTTATATAAGAACACAAGATTTATAAATGCTGTTTGCAGTTCCATCTTCCTGATTCAAAGAGAAGGAAGTGGCTGAAGAGAAGCTGAACCTAAGGCTTATTAATTCAATCCACAGGTGTTTTTTTTAAGGACACAACCAACCAAGAAAGGGGTTTATGTTCATTAATGAAGTATGTACAGGCAAATATTTGATGTTATTTTGGGATATATATTGAAATATTTTTGGCATCTAAATGTAGGGAAAGAACATGAACTAGATAGCCTTGAATTGCTAACAAGAAAAACCTAAACGTGGTTTGAAATTGGACAACGTTCTTAGTCATATGATTTAGTTTCAAGCAGTACTGAGAGAAGCAGAAAGTGGGACTCAACGCTCCCTTATGGGTCCCTTTAACTTAAGATATGAAATTTTGTAGTATAACATTACATAGCTAGCAAGATATGTAGCTGAACAGCATAAATCATCCTGTTCAACATCCCATACGCATATATCAATTCAAATAGCATGAGGATTTGACACTATTTACCAGCGTGGCTAACATACAATGATCACTCTATTTCTCAATGCTAGACTTATTCAAACTGTATTCAAACTTGAGATATGAAAGAATGATAGCTCTATCAGCTGATATAAAACATGCTATGTCCTATTCTAAACATCTGTGAAAATTAAAAGTATTTTATTCTGCAATAATCTTGTCTTTCAAATACTGTTTTTAATAAAGGTCATTTCGGGATTAAATTTCTATACACACCTAAGAGAATAGTTGCCATAAGCTTTCAATGCTGGCATCTTCCTATTTTCAATGCTGACATCTGTACTATTATGGTCTTATATGAAAGGTTCAAAATAGTTTCCTGATAGGCATTAAGATCCAACAGAAGTGTTCTGTTTCTAGTTTCATAAATATGGACTAGCTTTCTGTAAGTTAAATCATATTTAGTTAAACAGAATTTGTGCAAGAAACAAGGGAAAACAGTTAAATAACTCGGCTAGTAATAGAAGTGAACACACAGTAACTTACCTGGATGCAACATATTTTTCATACATTTCTTCCCTAGCTTTTTTGGCATCCTCTAGCTGAATCTGAAGTCTTTCAAGGCGATCTTCCTCATGCGCACAGCGAATACTAAGCTCCATGTTTTGGCGGTTAAGATAATCTTTATCTTTTTGCAACAAGTTGAGGGATTGTTGTATGGTTGCCAGCTATAAAAAGCATTAAAAAGTACAGTTTAACATGAACTTCAAGATAAGTATTTCACCTATGTACACATATTTATGATTTCATTTTAACTCTCTTCTGTGAAATTAGCTGAACCAGAAGACTCTATTTACACTTAAGTTTAATGTAAGTTGGTAAAGCTTTATGCTGAAAAAGGACTAAGAAAATTACAGTTTTACGAGTTTTTTTTACTTATTTCTGATAGTTGGCACCTGAAAAAGAGGTAAAGTGTCCCTTAATTTACCTCAGTATCTAAGTAGTACTGAAGTAATGAATAGTGATAGTATTGAATAGCACTACATCAGAAATACTGATGTCAAGTCTTGGTGACAATGTCATAATACTGGCTACACCATTCTCAGAAACAGAAGTGGAAATTTTAAGGCCACCAGAGACATTGTTGCTCCATAAACAAATGGTAAAACTGCTATTTCTAGGGCTGAAGTATATCATGACTGCTGTGGACAAGCTAGTGTTCCAGGCCAGCACCAAAGAGCATTACACATGCCTTGTTTTGACTTTCATTTTGCATGGTGTTGCTACAGAAGACTGAACTGATCAGAATCAGAAACGAGTATCCTGTGAGTCTCTAACAGCCTTCCCAATCAACAGATCAGTCTCCCTCACTATTCCAAGAAGAAAGTGGGGTGGGAGCAAGTAGTCTCAATCTATTTCAGGTGAACATTGTCAGAGAACAGCCACAAAGCATAAGGGCACTGATGCAGAGCAGCCCGACTCAGTCATGATAGCAAAACACAGTTTTATCACATTAAATATTTTTTGCCATTTAAGCTCCTGAGGACTTCACATGTCATGTTCAAAGAATGATAATAGGTTATATGTACATCCACAGTGAACACAGACATCTTGGATTACTACATGAACAAAGAAATCTAGGAGTTACTACCCTTCTAACTCCTCCTCCCCTGGAATAAATACTGTGTAAACACGATTGTATGCTCTTCCAACTCAGAACTTGTAATACTGTATAAGCATACACAAAAAACATCACAGACATTTCAGGACATTCAAGTAATCACAGTTTGAAGGGGTATTTTAGTTTAAATTAGTGCTAGTTTTATTTCCTCTCAGATCAATCTAGTATAAAGTTAATGAAAAAAAACATCATTGCTGTTATACTGAAGTATTTGATGCATAAATACAAGCTTGATGTGCATGACAATACTTTTTTGGGCACTGTTATATGCTGACAGTAAACCTGTATTTTGATGTCCCCTTACAATGCTAGAGCACTGATGAATAAGCAGCCTAACAAAGCCCTCGGACCAATATCAAAATCAAGAATATAAAAAAGTATTTTCTAACAGAAACTGTTTCTTCCCTAGTGTTTCAGAGAATCTCTGTGGCTAGCTGTAAAATTAGCCAGAAGACTTCTACCCTTAAAGCAGTAGTTATAGACACTAATTTATCTGTAACAATGTTACACTGAGATATCAAGGAAGGCAATCTTCCCTGAATTCTCTCAGGTGTAACTGGTCTCATCTGTTTAGCTGCCAAAGTGTTAACACACAAAGATCCTTCATTTGATGCCTGCATGGACTAATAGAGTCAAGAACAACCTTCTCATGCAGTACCTCTTTCAAATCACATTTCAACATAAATTCACAAATTAATTCGAAACAGCTAATCGTTTTGCTATTTTTTCTGAAAAGATCTCTACAGAAACACAGCTTAAAAATAGTCTTATTTTTCGTCAAAGTTGCGCTGAGCTACAAACTATCAAAGATAATACCAAGCTGAAAAAGTTTCTCTTTCTCAAGATTCACTAAGTCTCTTCTCTCTCCCAAAAAGCTGTTGCAAAGCTACACTGACATCAGATGAAGGAAAGAATACCTTAATGACTTGTTAGTTTTGGATGATTTTATCATCCAAATATTCTCTACATATATTACTCTTTGAGTCCCTTGACCCAAAAGTTATCATACATGCCCAGTGAGGGAGCCATCACTGAAGACATTTCATGACACATGGATGAATGAATTACTGAACAGAGAAGTAGCAAGGGACATTTCTCTTGACCGGACACACCTCACACCCTTGGAACAGCAGAAACACATTCCCCTGTGCAAGACTAGTGCTACAAGAATGGCAGTGACCGAGACCCATCACCCTAGTGGAAGCCCTGCCCAAAAGGGAAGCAGCACTGGAATTCCTCTTGTCAAAATGCAGTATCACAGTAAGATGTCCAGGATGGCTGTCTCTCTATTTATTACACAGAATTAACCTCTGTAAAGACAAACTGAAGGAAACTTTGTGCAACTGAACCATTACTTTACTAGAGTCACAAAGAAGAAAAACTATTGATGTCTAGAAAAAAAATAATACACAACAAAACATAAGCCATACAGTAGCTCTGCCCTCCTGTCACTATTGGTTGGAAAGAATTAAAGCTAATTAGGTCTGCACCTTTTGAGGGACAGAACATACAAGCATTCAGCTTCCACTGGTAGATTTTCCCCTTGGGCCTCCCAGGTTCCTGAACTTGTTGCCAGAGTTCAGAAGGCTGAAGCAAAGGAAGGCTAAAGCAAAGGAAGGCTAAGCTAGAGACCTAAAAAAATGGCATATACATAATGCCTAAGGGATAATGAAAAGCATTTGACCAATGTTGAGGGAGATAGCCAACGCTGTTGCGAGCCTGCCCATCTGTTTGAAAGATCATAGCAAGTGAGCAGGGCTCCTGATGATGCAGAATTCACCTTCAAGAAGGAAGACCCAGGGAACTGTGGACTTGTGAATCTAACCTCAGTCCCTGCAAAAGTTGGATTTCAGGAGGAAACAAATCTTCCTGCAAGCAATATTCATGCATATGGAGGATAAGGTGACTGCAAACAACTAGCATGGATTTACCAAGGCCAAACTGTGCCTAGCAAACCTGACAAGTAAGTTGGTTCTATGGATGAGGGCATAGATGTTCATGTCAGTTACATAGACTTTTGCATGGCTTTCATTTATCTCACATAACACCTCTATGGGAAAATGGGCAAAATATGGACTGGATACGCAAATATCAGTTGAACAAACTAAACATGAGCCAGAAGTGTGCCCTGACAGCAAAGACAGCCAAGTGCCTACTAGGCTATATTAGAGACCATGAAGAAAATAGTCTCAAGAAATTTATTATTATCCTGTGTTCAGTACTTGTGAAACTGTACTTGACATGCTATGTGCATTCTGATTTCCTCCTGAAAACATACATTAACATACTGGAGCAAGACCAGATGTCATCTCTGCCAAGATAGTCATGGACTTCAGCACATGATGTACACAGGTTTGAGAGAAATGTTTTTTTTTTTTTTTCAACCTTCAGAAATGAAATCTGGGTGGGGAAAAATCTTGTTATCTTCACCTATCCAACTGGCATGCATAGGAAGAGCCAGACTCTTGGAACTGCATACTGACTGGACAAGAGACAACTGAAAAAACCTGCAACAACACTGATTAGATTTTACAAAAACATTTTCTTAAAGAGGGTGGATAAACACTGTAACAGATTATCCAGAAAGCCTGTGGAATCTCCATTCTTGGAGATTCAAAACCTGACTAAGCCCTAAGTAACCTGATGTAAGCTGGCTCTGCACTGCATGGGTGGGTTGGACCAGCTGGTCTCCTTAGAGCCATTCTAATGTGAATTATTCCATGATCCTACAAGTGATCCTGACAGACTTAATCAGACAAAGAATCAAATTCCTGAAGTGAAGAAATAGACAATTACTGAAATAAAAACTTTACCTCTTTCGATAAGTCACCTCTTTCTTTAGCTTGTGCTTTGTGTGACACCTCTAATATTTCATATTTTCTTCTGAGTTCTGACAATTCCTGTTCAAATGTATCACGTTCACTGTTAAAATAAAGTGAAAATGTTAGATGAATGAAGTGTAACAAACAACAATCCTGTGCATTTGTAATCCCTCAGCCTTTCAGTTCATGATTCTGACTTCCAGTCACTCACAAGGTAATTAGTGATAATCCTACCTTTGCCAGTGGTTAACACCTGGAACAATACCTATTATATAGAAGAATTTTCATAATTTCTAAGTATTAAAAAAAATCCTAAATTATAACACAATAATAATGAATTACCATCATAAATTATTTAATTCTCCTCTGATTATTATTCTTTAGTGTAACTTTGGCCTATACATTTCTCCTCTTAGCAATGAACTGTAAGTATCCTTGTCCATCCTTTTAGTATGATGCTATTTCCCACAACATTCTCTTGAGTCTTTTTCAGCCACTGAAGTTTGATGGAAAAGTAAAGCTACTTCTTTCCTATCTTCCTAATCAAACAGAAAGCAATGTATACTTGTTCTTAGTTGCTAGTTTCCCTTGTATAGTCTCTTGACACCAGAGGAGGTTGTACTACTCTCTTCATGTTTAAAATACACATGACACAGCTGTAAAAATTATGTTGGTTTCCTAAATAAAAGTGCTTTCCATATGCACAAAGAAGCAGCTCTGTCTCCACTCTATCTGACCTTGTCAGAACAGTGAAATGAATGACCCAGTATGAGCTTGCAGTTTGGAAAAAAAGCTAACCATTTTTTTATTAAGCATAGCATAGTTTTAAAACTGAGATAACGTAGTACACCAGAACTAGAAGATTTGACATGGCACTTTTAAAGACTGAAACAAGCCTGGAAGTGATTAACTCCTGCAATGCTCCCAAATATCCTCATGCAGTCATGCCAACAGCGCTCTCCCCTTCCCTTCGTCTGTGCCTACCCAGATGAATACAACCTACTCTCAATATAGTTTTGGCACATTCATTCATAACTTTTTTCAACTTGACTATTTTAAATGTATACTCTTAAACACTGGGGCCATTCACATGAACATTATTCAATCCATCTATTAAGATGCAGTTGCACACGGGAGGCAAACCATAGCATCAATCCATCCTATTTGCAAAAAGCTTCCAGGTAGATTCCAAGGTTGTTTTAGTACACATAACTGTGAACAGTTATCCAGAATGAAGACTGTCCTTCAAATGATTTTGTGGTAAAGTCATTTATGTCAGTAAGTATGCTTGAATTCATTCACTGTGAACAACTAAGGAGCTGACAGGGTGTTTTCTGTTCATAATCTCAATTTTTGAATCCATTCCCCAACAAATGTGCCAAAAGCCAGATTTCGTGTACTGGCAAGCACACTAAATAAGCCATTTGGAAGCTGGATTGTCAAGTATAAATCTGTATTTATAGAAAGTCCATTTTCACTATTTTGCAGTTGTTGTTTACAAAATGCACATTCAAAGCATAGGCTAGAACTGCAAAATCTGTATTTAAAAAATGAAGAGACACTGGAGCTTTCTGCAGTTAAACCAATTCACTAAAGTAACCCTAAGACAGAGGGTTACTTTGCAGTAACAGACTCTAACAGAGGTCTTATAACAGCTCTTTCAAATTCATGGTTACAAGGCTATCTTAAGTTATAAATATTAATTCCCAAGGTCCTGCACTTTTTATTCACTGTGTAGTCACCACACAGTAGAGCACAGGGCCTTTTGTTAGATCACTGCTTTTACTCTAAGGAAAAAGGAGTACTTGTTCTAAGCTGCTTGGCATCAACAGCTCCCATTTCTTCAGCTGCAATGTGACTGGTAGGCTCTTCTGAAAACACAGTAAATCCCCAAATATAAACTTCCAGGGAGATAATTTGGTGCATCAGAATTCAACAGGTTGTTCATCTTATGACTGTAATATACTACAGGAAACAATTGAACCAGCAGTGGATTAAGGTAAGGAAAAATATCTGTGGTGTACTTAAGCCAAAAAATCAAATTAAAAACTCTAATCAATCAAGGTTGAAGTTTTTCTATTAACATTTGTATATAAGTAGAACACTTGAATGACAGATACCTACCGTTTTACTTTATCATAGTTCTCTTGCCTGTAATCACCTTGCTGAATCATTTGCTTTGTATCAGCCAGTTCCAGTGTTAAACGCTGACATCTTATCTCAAGCTCTGACCGAGTTCTCCTCTCATCTTCATAGCTCTAGAAGATAAGACATTTTGAAATTATCAAAGCTACACTGATATTTACTTAAAGCAATCACCAACTAAGCTTTGTGAAGACCTGTTATGAACATTCAAGTAGTAGCATTTGTATTTGGAAATCTAGCAGCTATCACAAAGTAACCAGCCATACTGATACTCAACTTACTTTTTATATTATTCTACATAGGTGATTAATGTACCTAATTTTTTCTAACACATCTGTCCACGGGCACAACTTCCAAGGCCAGTAAACCTCATATATGCAGCTGGTGGTCTACAAACCTATAGTTGGAGCACAAAAGTCACACTCACTTTACAATATTTTCAAACAATTTCCCATGTGAAGACATATGCCGGTCAAATCAGGAATCTTCCCAAATTCTCTCATTATATGAAAAGTTTCAGCCAGTTACTCCCAAATTGTATCTGGTAATTTATGTTTGCTGAAACATATTCGAATCATAGAATAGTTAGGGTTGGAAAGGACCTTAAGATCATCTAGTTTCAAACCCCCTGCCATAGGCAGGGACACCTCACACTACACCATGTCATCCAAGACTCTGTTCAGCTTGGCCTTGAACACTGACAGGGACGGAGTAGTCACAGCTTCCTTGGGCAACCTGTTCCAGTGCCTCACTACCCTCCCAGTAAAGAACTTCTTTGTTACATCTATCCTAAACTTCCCCTGTTTAAGTCTGAACCTGTTAATCCTTGTCCTACCTCTACAGTCCCTAATGAAGAGTCCCTCCCCACCATCCCTGCAGGTCCCCTTCAGATACTGGAAGGCTGCTATGAGGTGTCCACACAGCCTTCTCTTCTCCAGGCTGAACAGCCCGGACTTTCTCAGCCTGTCTTCATAGGGGAGGTGCTTAAGTCCCATGATCATCCCTGCAGCCCTCCTCTGGACTTGCTCCAACAAAATATCATCCAAAGCTTTGGTGGAGGGAGTGAAAAAAGGAAAAAGAAAATGGTGTTTATTTGCTTATTTAATGGTCTATAAGCCTTAATTTCCATCTTCCATTCTTTGTCCTCCTCATATACATTGAGAGACTACTATGCAAACTAGAAAAAAGGACCAAAGCAAGAGAACACACAGAAAGCAGAAGTCTTTTAAAACACTGGTTATTCCTTTTGAAGATAACTAGATTTCCTAATTATCATATTCCTCTTTCCCACTCCCCACAGGAATAGCAGACCTCTGTACATTAATACCCAACCTAGACTCATTTCTCAGCTTTTTCTCCAAAGTACAAATTTACCTTACAAAATTTATATAAATTTACCTTATTTGCTTGTCCAAAATGATGTACTACTTAGCAATCTCTTCACAAAACCAACAAAAAATAAGACTCAGCCACCTATGCTAGGGAAAACAGATGGACAGCATAAAAAATTGCCTGCTAAAACCTTGAGAATACCTTCTGGACATCTAGATCTTTTTTCCATCTTCTGTCTCTCAGAATACTCCTGAGTTCTGCTTTTTTTTCTGCTATGGTTGATATATGGCAAGTTCGATAATAGATTCTTGATAAACAATAACTCCATCTGGTTTTATCAAATGGACATCACAGTATTACTCACTGAAGGTGAACACTGCTTTAAGATGTAATTACTGAACTAAACATTTAACCACTGCAAAATAAATTTATTTTGCAAAGAGGAACATTGTATGAGTGCGTAACTTTTCAACATAAACTGAAAGCTATGTTTCATACATTATAAGAGAGTATAGCAATTGTGTCTAGCTAGTTTTTAATAGACACTAAACCATGTCACCCAAGGCTCTGTACAACCTGGTCTTGAACACCAACAGAGATGGAGCATTTACAACTTCCTTAGGCAACCCATTCCAGTGCCTCACCACCCTCACAGTAAAGAACTTCTTCCTTATATCTAATCTAAACTTCCTCTGTTTAAGTTTTAACCTGTTACCCCTTGTTCTATCACTACAGTCCTTAATGAAGAGTTACTCCCCAGGATCCTTATAGGCCCCCTTCAGATACTGGAAGGCAGCAGTGTCATGTAACAATATAATAACTGAGAGAAGGAGGTTAAGTTCTACCTTTGAAGTGATACTAAGACATAACTATACAGTTTGACGCTTAAAAAAATAATTACAGAAAGGAGGGGTTGTTTTGGTTTGTTTGGTTTTTAAAGATAACTGTAATTCTTGAAGAAATACTAGTTCTTCTACACAGGTCATTGTTTTCTAACTACCTAATCTCTTAGATATCAAAGTTGTATTTTAATCACAAGAAGAAATATGGAAGACAAGCTAATAAACAGCCTATAGGTTAACACACAAAATCCCCTATACAGTAGGCATATCTCCAGGTAGCAGACACACAAGCTTCTGGACTTCTATAGCAATACATCTTAAAGACATACAATCAAGGTGTCTGTGCTGCTTAGGCGGAATAAGTCTTGCTTTGCACGTAGTGAAGTTAATTAAGTTTATAACAATGTCCATACGCCCTGAACTGACTTTAAGATCTCTGCAAAGAAACAGCATTATCTTTCAATTTATCTTCAAGAGATAGCTTGGAAGTCACGATGAAGTCATGTCCTGCTGAGGCAAAAAGGGGACTTTTAAAGGGATCAAGATACAGATCAATTTCAAGGACAGGAATGAGGTCCTAAAAATAACACCAGTAAATAAAAATAACTTAAGTAAGCCCACAAGTGTGAAGAAAAAATTGTGATGATCCTGCGAGCAATGTATAACTTTTCTTCAGCTTCTTATTAATTTTTGTTACTGCAAAGCAGCAAATCAGATGAGGCGGCTAAACCAAACAAATCTGACATGTGTGAGATGGGTAGGCAAAGGCAAACATTGCCTAAAGAAACTGTTAACAGAGCTGTCCAAAAGACCCAGTATTAACCAGTACAGGTCATTTCTGCAAAATACATGAAGCAGTCCCTACCAAGAAGTGATTCCATTTGGTTTACAAACACTGTCAACGGATGGATGTGTTGAGCAAGAAGATTCTGAACTTGACTGATATGCACCATTTAAAAAACAAACTTGTAGAGAAACTAGAGATCTAATGACAGACCTCAGTTTTATGTATCCTCCATCTGGAATTAATAGCAGCTTATAGCAAGTCACTTGAATAAACACCTCTCTAAATTTCAAGTACAAAAATCGGGTGGCATACTTTTTGAACAAAGTTAGTGACACATAATACATGGTAGGGATTAGCTGATCTTTCAAAAAGTCTTTGGGGATAAGAAGATAAACAACAGAAATGCAAGGAAAAGATTAATCAGCCAATCAACCAGAAGAAGCATGACTTCTTCACACTGTCTACAGATAAGCCAGTGGAAGAAAGTGATTCTGCTTTTAAAAAGCTTACTTGAAAGAACTTCATCCTTGAAGGACCACTTACACAAGCCAGCACTTTCTGCTTGTATACTAAGGTACCTAAAGGCCCTAGGCAAATGTAAAGCTACTATAACTATTGTAATGTGAAAAACAATTCCCTCAAGTTATTTAGATAAGGTGCTGCTACTTAGTAAAGATGACATTTTGCTTTAATACATTTACACAGTATGTATTCAAAAATTATTGGTCAATACATTATTTATTTGAATTACAACATCTCAAATATCAGGAAGAAGTTATACATAACTGGATGAATAAGGCATCTCTTCCAGCATGCTGATATGAAATTGGTAATCTGTCAAGGACTCTAGACAGGACACTCCCCATCACTAAAAATAATAAACAAAATGTTGAGCTACTTCCAAAACAGGGAAGCCCTGCAAGAAGGACAGGAAAGAAAAACTATGGCATAACTGCAAAAGAAAGTGGGATATAAGAAGTATATAAAAAGCTCTTTCTCTCTCTGGATCTGAGCTGTCCAGAATCTGCAGTGAAATATTTTCAGGTGAAAAGGATCTTTGAGATCATTGTATCAGACACTGGAATTAAGCCATTTGGTACTTCTGAATAACAACTAGTAGTTTATATGAGCCATATGTATACGTCGAAAGAGATACAAAGATACTGGACAGAAAAGGAGCTTTCATAGATAAGTTAGTTTTCCTGAGACTTCGAAATGTTAAACTGCTGCCCCAAGATAACAGTTATTGGTAGCATATTCTTCTTTGCAGTTTTATCCTGGACAAGGTAAGTATTAATAATAATGAAGGCAGGAAGGCATACATCCCATCTTAGACTGAGGCCTTATCTATCCTTTCTAAGAGAGATGTGAAGACCAAGTAAGCAAAGCACTCCCTGAAATAATTGGTGTCAGGAAGCTGGTGAAGGATTCTGGAGTGCAACGTTGAATTATAGATGTTCAAACTTCAGAAGAGATCTTAGGGAACATAGTCCTTCTGGAGTAGCAATGGTAGTCTCAATTTTACAATATTCAGATACATCTAGTGGTGACTGATCCTTTGAGTCAGACTGATCCTTTGAGCAATAGCTTAGCTCATTCTTTGAAGACCATAGAAATATTTTTCCTCCAGCTGGGAAACATTACCACAGAGAAAATTGTTAGGTATGCCTAGCTAAGCCTGACAGCAACTAATCCTGATTCAGAGACGTCTTGGAAAGAATCCTTGCCTTACATACATCCAGCTTCATCTGTAGGCTAACCATAGCTTTTAGATAACTGTCATACTATAAATTTGATTGCAAGTCTTAAAGACAATGTTACAGGGGGAAAAAAAAACAAACTAAAGAAAGGAAGCCTTGATAAAACTGTATCAAGATCGAATTCCAGGAAAACATTGTCAAGAAACTCATAACCAGAGAAGAAAGCAATATTTAATCTTCTAGGCCTACAAAGAAAAGCAGAATTTCCTTCATAGACATTCTCCCAGTCTTGAGAGAAACACACAAGCAGTAAATTACATCTGTTTGAGGGAAGGTTATAACCACTTTGGAAGCAAACAACTCTGAAAATAGTACACTAATGTTCAGCATGGGAACACACACATCAGAACCTGGTTTTGTTTCTGGGAAGCTCCTGGTAATACAACCCTACAGCTGGACTTCCCTCTATCTGTACCACCGAAGGTGGTGGTGCCAACATTGTTTATACTTTAAGTACTGAACACTGTAAAAGGACCAAAACAAGTCTAGTGGAAGGTGTCCCTGCCCATTGGCAAGGGGTGGGGTGTGGTGTGTTAACGTCCCTTCTGACCCATTTGATTTGATTATATGATTTAATAACAGATCAGTCAGCACTGCAGTATAAGAACATGGCTTTTACCCGTTCCACTGACTCCTCCCCAGTCTGTTGCTGCTGCACCTAGAAAAAGAGGACCACACTGGTCTAAATTACAGATGGAATCACTGTGTATAGAGCACCATTAACTCTGTGGTAGTACTGCAGAACCACTTAGCCTGACCACTTTAAAAACAGAAAGTGGTGACAGATCTTTTCACACTAGCTTTGTTTATCAGATTATGTTCCAGTGCTAGAAATCAGTCTTCATGCTGTTCTCTGCTACTAGTTGTCAGAAACAGCTCCCCACCCTACTGAGTCTGTGTTACAGATTCAGCGGGCTTTGATTAAATGCTAACTCAGATCAGCAACAGACAATCAACAAGAGAACTTTGTTACCAAGTTCTAAACTTTTAGTGGTCTTACTCTTGGGATACTAAGAATTAAATGAGTGCTGACAGGGGCCGATACACACTTAGGACCTTCTGCCACTTCTGAACAAACTAAAGATATTTTCATATACCTAGAATACAAATACAGGTGATGAAGATTTGAAAGATGTGTTTCATGTCCTGAAGTCAGCACTTTTGCCTACTACAAATGAATTAATGAATGGCCTAGAGATAAGAATATGAGGATTTGTCAAATCTTAGAAACTTGGTTTCTACAAGGCTACAATGACAATTCAATTTTTAGAGAACCAAGCTTTCTATCTCATACAGCTGGATACTTATAAACTCAGTTGGCTAAGAGGCCACAACGCCAGGCAACTGCACCTGTTTTTGTGCCAGGTGAGGTCTGTTGTGCCAAGAGTTTCTTTCTCCTGGTGGGTGTTCCCCTCCACCCCCCAAACAACAAACAAACAAACAAACAAAAAAGGCAGCATGTAGCAAAAAAAGATTTGGTGCGTTCGAAGACCTTATTTTATATAACCAGTACTCAGACATATTGGCTCATCTTAATAGCATCCAGACAATAGAACTGTGCATCTCTGCTTTCTCACAAAACACTATATAAAGGCCCATGAGCAAAGAAAACAAAATAATGTGTCTTGTTTTGGAGTATGAACAGAAGAACAGTGAAATGAGAGCTCATTTCCTTTGACCAAATTAAAGGACTACAGCCATCCTGTCACAAAATAACATAGCTGATACTAGGCAACAGTTGTCTTATTTGATGAATTAATTTCACATTGAAATTTTCCTAGAACTGGCTTAACATACTAGACAAGTTTGAATTTTCCTTTAAACTTTTTCAGTTCTCTGTTGGCTAGATAAACTTCCCTGAGTCTATACCCAATTGTCTTGTATTTCCCATTAGTCTCTAGGTGAATACCTACACATATGAAACTTACTCAAACCTAGTCTGTCAGCCATGAACAATCAGAAAAGCCCCGAGCCATTAGTAATTCATAAAAAAAATTGGGCTAAGCACATATTTTAGCTCCTTTCTATATTCCACAAAGAAGAAAAAACAACGTGTTGAAACTCATTAGGGAGAGTATTAATGATGTGCAACAGTAGGAAAAAAAATGCTTATTGTAGGAAGTGGTTTATTCTCACAGAGGGAAGGGAAAAAAAAAAAAGTAATAGATTGTCTTAACTTCAGTGATGTCTGCATCTCAAATATCTGTATCGGTAGTTTCCTAATGAACTTTTAAAGAAGAGACATGTGTTAATAAATAATGTAGAGAACAGAAATACTGCAACTGTTGCAGAAAACTTAAGGAATATTGGATGGCAAATCAGAGAAAGGATATGAAGAGTGTAAGTTATTTAAAAACAGAAAAGAAGCTTCAGCAACTGTGTTTCATGTATCTGGTAATAAAGAATAATTGGAATACTACAAAAGCAGTAAAAGAAGAGTGTAAGATGTTAAGTAAGACTCTGAATAAAACCCTGATTTATTTCCTACTGATAAATTCCTTGCAGTAAAGCCTGGCCTTATTTAAGGAACTCAAGTAAGTTACCCTGAGAGTACACCTTGAAACCACTTCTTCATAAACTGCAAGAGATGCATACATTAGTTTTAGTGTGTTAAGTGCATTACAGATTCTGAAGTACCCTCATACATTGGTGATGCTCCTCACTATCTGAAACAGCATGAGGTACCTTGATACATTGAACTCATCAAGTCACTAAGTCAAATCAGAACTTGTCAGAAGCAAAACAGACTTCTAAGTCTCTCTGCACATAAAATACCTCATCTCAGGTCCCATACAGATCACCTCTGCATAACGGATAGGGTGAAGACTTGGGTTTGGAGGAGTGTATATATGGAAAAACTGTAGTAAGTGAACCTAAGAATCCTAAGGAGTAATTTTTATTAATGACTGTAAGCCCTTTTATTTTTTTTTAACTTGTCACATTTCAGCAACTGGATCTCTTCCCCAATTGGTTTTGGCTTGGGTTTTTCCATTTAAACGAGGTATTCCTTCTTAGTAATTGTCTCTCATTTTAACCATGATTATGGAAACAGAGTATAAGCATTCAAATAACCACCTCGCTTCAACACAGGCAACATTCTAGTGCTTTTTCATCAACATCAAAAGCCTAGTAAACTTCAAACTTGGAAAAATATAATCAGTAGGAAAGGTGGATACTGCCACCTTGTGGTATAAAAAGAACAAAATTACATGTTTCTATATTAAAGAAAGGTCAATATACCACGAAAATTGTTTCTAGCAAAACTTTGTTATCTACTATCCTGTTAAGCTGCTGTATTAAAAATTCAGATGTCACTCAAGTCTCAGAAGACTGAAATCCTCCTGTAGAATTTTATTAAATCAAAGCACATTAAATGTACAATGAAGCAAAATGAATGCTCAGATAAATTAGTTATGTTATGGCTAGAGATGATTACAAAATAATGTTGAAGCACATAAATACCCAAATTTTTTTGACTACTTTTAATTCAATTAAAAAAAGAAATGAAAATTATATGAATTTCACAAAGATGATCCTGTACAGTTAATAACTTTACAGCTGATTATTCCGTAAGTTAATTCTGAAGCCAAAAAAACGAAAAAAAAAAAAAAAAAAAAAGTTGTAGCTAAAGAATAAGGTCAGAAGTAGCAAACTGACAGTGGCATTAAAGTCCCTGCTGGCCACAATTTGGATAAACACACACTAGGTACCTGAAGCTGTCTTACCACAGCTCCAGATTTATGCAGAACTAAGGTAAAATACAAATCTTCCTAGTTGTATGCATATTAAGTATATTATAAATGTTCATAAATACCTTAAAAAATACATTCTTCATATACTGTTTCAGCGCCTTTGCTCTTTGCAAATAATAAATAAATATATTTAGATAATTTGTTTTGCTATTTCTGGCATTTATAACATACCTGAAATTATCTTTTTCTTTAGTATAGAAATAAATAGGAAATTCAAATATAGAAGTTGAAAAGCAGAAGAGTCAACTCCAAAGAATTCTTTAAAAACGCATTTTTAGGTTATCTAAAAATGAAGGTGAAGCAAATTGAGGTTTTTGCAATACATTTACACACTTTCTTAACTGAAATAATTATGATGCACAGACCTCTGTTAGACACTTCAGTTGCGACCTGTACCCAGTTAGTTCTTCCGTTAGGCTCTCTTTTTTCATCTGTAGATCACTTAACTCTTTTCGTAAGGAATGGACTACCTCATAGAACAGAATCTAGAAGAACAAGATATATATTGAAAATTGAGAGACTAGCAAAACTGCAAACACAAAGCCACAGTTAAAAAAAACCCCAAACAAAAACAAACAAACAAACCCGAAACAAAATAAAGGCCCACAAAAACAATACAGTCCCCAGCTTAACATTTTATGGCAATAATTCATCAAATGATTTCTAGTGCAAACAAGGAACCTGGCTGGGGCTAGGGAAATGTTAAAGCAAAGACAGTGGTTTTTCTTTAAGACACTGACAACAGCAGCAAAGAATTAATCAGTTTGTGTTTGGCACTGAAAGGAGGAATAAAGGTCTTCAACTAAGGCAGCTCTCTGGCTGCCTGATTAAAAAGCAGAGCTACTAAGGGACCACATGTTCCCTCCCTCTTACTTGTGCCAAACCTAGGGCCTATTTGATTAACATTGCAAAAAAGAAAAAAAAGAAAAAAGAAAGTAAGCCTATTTAGCAATAAACCAACATGACTTACTAACTTTCCCCAAGCCAATATAAATTTTTATGGGGTGTGTAAAAATGGGGAGAAATTAGCTTTGTTTTCTGCCAGTTCAGTGTGCTGAATTCGCATCAAAATGCAAGAGCAAGCACAGGAAGCAGAACAGCCCATGACCAAGAAAAGCCACAACAACCCCCCCCACACACACTTTTCAGCATTGACAGGCTGCTGTATGGGTTCAGCTACATCACGCAACTATGCCTCTGACAGAATCTGCCCTGCTAAATTAACACTGAAAAAAAAAATCCATGTAAAAGGATGAAAAAAAAAAATAAAATCCTGTAACAGATACTCCTGTCTCTTCCCTCACTGGCATAGTCTCAGACAAGTAAATCTCAGATCCATAAAACTCTTCCAGAACATTTGTACTGAACAAGAAAAAAATACTAGAAAAACACAGTACTAAACCATAAAGCCAGCAGTAAAAAACAAACCCCAAACCCCCAAAACAAAAAGACAAAAAGAGACAAAGAAGAAAGAGTTTTTTTGATATACACCCACACACACGTACACAGATCTTATTACTCCTAAATTAACCTGATACCTTATAATGTTTGTTTTGGGGGATGAAAAGAACAGATAATTAAGCACTATTTTCATGCAAAAGCTTCTCCATACCCCTCTATCATGAATGCTTTGTTTGATATATGATTAAAGAAGAAATACAAGCAAGAAAGCACAGACAGAATTCAAGAGCAAGTTGTACTACACTTCCATGCAGAAGACAAGTCTGTTTTGCTACCTGTAAACAACAAAAGACAAAGAAAAGTTCCACGTATATTCCACATAATTGACAGCATACCACAGAAGCCATGGAAATGTGTGATGTAAATATAGGTGAAGTTTGCTTTAGACAACAAAGCAAATGTGTAACATAATTGGAAGACTAACAGTAAGGCAGAAAAACTGAAATTTTCTTTAAAGTGGTGGGGTTTTTTTTTGTTTTCAAGTTTTTCCAAATTCTGTGCTTGTTAAAAGCTGCAGTTGCTTGAATCTGTTGTACTCAACAAGAGAGCTTCACTTTTCATCCTTACCTTCAGATGCAAAACAAACATAAGCTAAAGTAAGACATATGCTGTAAATTTGAAACAACTTCTTATTGAAAAAATGAAAGCTTTCCCAAAATACAGCTGTTATTTTTAAGATGGTAAGAAGGTATTCTCAGTTCATTATGGCTAAGTTTACACATCAAATGAAGAAACTGAAGGACATTTTAAAACAACAGTTCATTTAAAAAAGAAATAAGGTAAGATCACTTTTTTGTTCATGTTCTGAAAATTCCAAATGACAAGTCAAACCATCAGATGCTACAGCAGTTAAAACTAGAAAATAGAAATTTTCTATTTCGAGAAGTGAACTAACTGCATAATATTGCTTTATTTTACTGCTTCATTCCTATTTTTTCTTGCATTATGCCAATATTCAAGGAGTTTTTTCATGTCCATCTACAAAATCCTGTTGTTTTAATTGGTTTGCATGAAAACAAACAAGCAAAGATAGTTTTGTGGCTTCTTTCTAACTTCCAAACTACTACATCAGGCTTCAGCTACTTCAAAGCAGTAATTTTTCTGCCTCTTCTCTATAGCTTCCGCTGACTAGTTTTCACCTATGTGGACTCTTTAAGAACATGTCCGATTACATCTGAAATCAAGCAACTGACTTTTAATCAAATCCTCTTCCCTCCCCCAAAAATATTATTTTTTTTCTTTAAAAATAACCTTGACTGTCATTAATTGGTAACTAAAACACCATGGGTTTTTTAAACCACACATACTTTTTCCCTTAAGCTCTTGTCTTTTGATTGTGGTTTCCTTAGGAAACCTAACTTACGCCATCATGCCACATTTACTTCCCAAACTGCCACAATCTTAAAATAGATTATCCAGTATCAACCTAGGATGTCATGGGATATAGGTATCAAGATAGGTGTATCTATCTGCACAGCCTTCCTGAGAAAAGATCAATCTATGGTAATACGAAAGTGCAAATGAATACAGACATGAGGGGAAGGTTGTAGCAGAAGTCAACTGTTATTTAACTTGCTTGACAGCAAATAAGGATTCATGTAACTCAGCAGTCAAATCACACACATTACCTCTTGTCGAGTTAATATAGCAGCAACAAAGATTATTCTAATGAGATTTCAGAAATAACGGTGTATCTTAAAAACAAATTTATATTCATGTGCTGTAAGGAAAAGGTCACCACTTTCCAGGCAATTTTTAAAAAACCTCTTAACATGTGCCCACCACCTTTTATGGAAAACAAAACTTAGCCTAAAAATGGGCGGGTGCAGAGGATGAAGAAGTTGCCTCCTGTTAAATAAAGTCATGTTGAAGTAGTTTCATCAGTTACTGCCTTCTTAAACAAAGGGTAAATGAGCTGTAGTTAGTAAAATGAGGACACTGGAAGACACAGTGATTGAAATTGGATCAAACAGAATTCACAGATGCCATTTTTAAACAACTTAGTGAAAAATTTTCAGGAGTATACAAGGCTCACTTTACTGAACAAATTAAGTGATTCAGCTGCCAAGCACCAGTTCAATGACCTGGAGTGCTTTAAAATTTTTAATATACTGTTTCTAAAAAAAAAATCATTCTTATAAACAGTAAAAAAAAAAAACCCTAGATTTTTTTACATATAAGTTAAAAAAAGTGTGATTTTTAAGAGGAAGATGCTTAAAACATCATTTTTCTTTTATCATCATTATTGGAACTAGATTATCTCTAAGGTCTCTTCTGACCCAAATTATTCTATGATTAACTTAAACAGGGGAAGTTTAGGTTAGACATAAGGAAGAAGTTCTTTACTGTGAGGGTCGTGAGGTACAGAAATGGGTTGCCCAAGGAGGCTGTAAATGGTCCATCCTTGGCAGTGTTCAAAGCCAGGTTGGACAGAGCCCGAGCCCTGGGCGACACAGTTTAGTGAGAGGCATCCCTGCCCATGGCAAAGGGGCTGGAACTTGATGATCTTAAGGTCCTTTCCAACCCTAACTATTCTATTATTCTATGATTAACATTAAACACTGCCTAATTTTTGCTCTATCGTGTCACTATTGCACCCCTTTGTGGTAGAACAGTGAAAACCATCTCATTTAATTCTATGTCCTGTTTGTCTATGTTACAATATTTCTATATACAAAATCTGTATTTAAACACTTCCTGCTGTTTTTCCATTATACCAGGTTTCAAATAAAGTATAAGATTATATATACAATTGCTTCTATCCTGGAGAATTGTAAAGCAGTATTTTATAATGGATAAACAGAAGAAAGTCTGGAAATTTCTTGCTCAACTCTTCTTTAAGCAAAACTTTCTCACCAAGGAGAATTTTATTCTCGTATCAATACACTACACTGTTAGTCTGCCCATAGTATGGAGTCAGAGATTTTATCTGCCTGAGAAATGCACAACTCTTCCTTAGGTGAGTAAAGCAGAAAACAGCATCAGAAAAATTCCTTATTCCCTTCAACTTTACTAGCTTTCTGAAGCAAGATGGATGCATACACAGTATATACAAAAATGTTCTGTAGCTTCTCAGCATCTGTTACAGCTAAACAACTCAATGTTAACGATAAACAATCACTAAGCTTAACCAATACTCTCATGCTCACGCTGATCCTGTTGCCAAAACAAGCTGGGAGAAGCAGAAAACAGCATCTTAATACAACAAGATGCTGTTTATGTCTTTGCTACAATGTCTTCTCAAGAAAAAAAAAAAACTGGTTTGACCAAAAAAGGACTTCTTCAGTCCTTTCCAAAGAAAGTGACATATATGTAAAGACTTCACTGAACACATACGTAGGGGAGTTTCTGTTTTAAAAGTAAAATTTACCGGTTGAATGCAAGAGCAAAAGAAAGGTAGATTAGAGGTAGAAGGTGGCTGTTATCTCTCCTGCTTCACATCCTTTTTAGAGTACCCTTCTACTCACAAATACAGTCTAAGCAATCTGTGCTGTGACACCTACACTTAAAGCAGCTGGCAAGGTTACTAACTCCTGGTATTTCTCCTGCCCAGCTACACGTTCTTTTTACTGACTGCCAATCAACTCCAAAGGCCTGGAACTTCCTGCATACCAATTTCAAGCAAGCTGACACAGATTTCAGTTTTTGTTTAAAATCTGCTTTTCTAATCATGGTGTTGCAGGAATCAACAAAACCCCTGAAATACTTCTGCAGAGGGCAGGGTACAGTGGGGAGCTAGGGGTAATGACCTAAGAGGCTCCAGCTAGGTGATCTGTTACTCATACAGAGCCTTAAAATTTTCCCAGTATTTTCAGAAGTCCAAGTTTTAGAACTTTTGAGAAGATGTTTCCAAGCACATCTTTTAGATAAGAATGACAAGTTATGCTTCTCTGTACATACTTTAGAGCACAGTATACCATTACTTTCATTCAGCAAGGGAACTCATTCATGCAACACTTATACCTCAACAAATCCACTAAGCTTTTTAAATTGTATTATTTACAGCTTCTTTAATAACTAGCTCTATAAATACGTAAAATGCTAATAATTTGGTGGATTAAGGTTTATATGTCCAAATCCTCTTCATTTCCAGAAGTGAGCCGGGATGGTCTGGACATATTCCACAGTTTGTGAAGGCACTGTCTTTTTACTGCAAGAAGAAATCCCCCTGCCCCTCTATCTACCCATATGCCATAATTAACAAACTTCTTAAATCAAGAAAATGAGTCTTACAGTAGTCTTTTAAGGTACACTTTATCTTCTGCATTTAGTCAGACAGGAAATGGACAGATGGAAAGCATGAGGGAAAGGTAAGAGATGTTTGCAACAGCCACCTTGACTTGCAGCTCTGGCAAGCCAAGTTTCAAATTACTTTTTTCAGCCTGCTGTATTTTAGATCATCAGCGTGTATCCACCATTTAATTGTAACACCCTGTCTGCTTAACCTGCTTAAAATATGTCAGCAATTCTAATCCTTTCAAGACATCAGAGTCTGGAATTAAAAAGTTTCCTCTTTATTGGAATCCTGTTGTTAAGAGACAGATCCAAAAGCACATCTGTCTCTGAAGTTCCCTCATTTCTAGCTGGGGAAGAGTTAAGAATTTAGGAGTATAGACTGGCTTCTACTATGTGCAAATATCTTTAATTCCAAACAAAAGCAGTTTACAGCTTGTGGTGGGTTGACCCTGAGCAGCAGCCAAGCACCCATATTGGCTGCTCACTGTCTGCCTCCAGTGGGAGCAGGACACAGGAGTGTGAAGAACAAAAGCAAGGAAACTCAGGTGTTGAGTTTTCTCAACAGTTTGATTAGTGAAGGAAAGAGAGAGAATCATAAAATAGGGGTTGGAAGGGACCTCATGGATCATCTGGTCCAAACTTTCTTGGCAAAGCATAACCTAGACTAGATGTTTGAGCACCCTGTCCAGCTGAATTACAAGTGCCCAACACTGGGGAGTCCACCATTTCCCTGGGGAGATTATTCCAATGGCCATGCAAATACAATCACTCACCACCTCTTGCAAGCAGACTGATGCCCAGCCAGTCTCTGAGCAATAATCACCTTGGAAGCCACCCCCCACCTCATCTTTCTTCCTCTATTTCCAGTTTATATTGCTGAGCATCACCTTAGATGGCATGGGATATTCCTTTGGCTGATTCAGGCCAGCTGTTCAGCTGCGCCCCCTCTCAATCTCACAAATATCCCTTGCTTGCTGGGGACAGGGGAAGAAGAGTAAGCCTTGATGCTGTGCAAGCATCATCCAGCAATACCTGTAACATTGTTGTGTTGTCAACACTGTTTTAGCCAGGCACAAGATTCAGGCTGCTATAAAGAAAGTTAACTCCATCCTAGGCAAACCCAGGATACTCTTATATTTTAAACCAATACAAAACTCAATACTCACAGAAACATATTCAGGGATAGAAAGCTGGTCTTCAGGAAGTAACTTTAGCTGCTTATAGCAATCATCTGTCAACTCCAAGTCTCGCAAGCTACGACGGATATCTCCAGCCCTCTCCCTTAACTGACGATTCGTTTCCTCCAGTTGTTTCTGTCTCAACAAAATAGTTTCCATTTCTTGTTTCATTAGAGCCTGATGTTTTCTTTAAGATTGATTTGAAAACAGAAGACATTAAGTAGCAAGTAACACAAGTGACAAACCTTCACAATACCCTGGCAAGGCAGTGAGTTATGCTCATTGTAGTGGGGAAAATTTACAGAAATTCGGTAATTAGCACAAAAGTGTATACCACCATGATTACACAATCATATCATATATAAAAAGCCAGAAACTTTACATTGACAACACAAGGCTGAATCTGAGAAGTGTCAATTAATCTCCACATGTGCTGACTTTAACTTGTAAATTAAGACATACATTCAAAACATTAAAAGCATGAAAAAGCTGACTGTATTTCCACACAAAACCCAAGGAACTAGTAAATCATCAAAGCAATAGTAACTTAAGTTTGTGTCTTACCAAGTTTCAGCACATACATGCTTAAGGCATATTCCATACACAACCCTTCATTTTCTGGCCAGTGTAATACACAAAACTGGGATCCATTTAAAAAAAACAAACAAGCAGAAACACAACACAAACCACACACCACAAAGACCACTACACTTAAACAAGCAGCCCTACTGCCAGCCTTAAAATACTACCATTATTATTATCACCAGAGATACAGTATTATGCAACAAGAAAAACTGTGCATCACTTCAAGATGTTTCTAAGTGTTCATTTTATTTGAAACAAATGTAACTGACCTACTTTTTCAGAGGTTTTAGCCATGACTCGTGAAAATCTATTCAAGTTATTCTTCAAAATGCACCAATTCCTACATTATTTTAAAAAGTAATATTAAAAATACTAGCTAGTACTACAAGGCAATGTCTGCCCCACTGGTTTCAAAAAGACAAGAGAAAGTCCCAGGTCATAAGTGCAGTCACACAAGGACACACTCTGCACATAGTGTGCAATACTCTTAAACAGAGATGGAAAGTGATGTAAAAGGCAGACAGGAAAACTAATGAAGAGACTGGGAAAAGTAAAGTAGTTAAACTTTTTATGCTTATTAAAAGCAATTTGCACCAAAGTACTTGTTTTACTGAACACTTCTCAAATAACTCAGATATGGTCAACGTAAAAATATTCCACTCCGGTGCAAATCAGCATTCAGAATGGCAAGTCATTTTTCTGGCTGTCAGCTGCTTTGAGTTAAAAGACTTTGTTGTAACTAATCCCAAGTCTGGCTTCATATCCCTAAATCTGTTCTAGGCTTACTATAGAATATGACTTTGAATTAGTTACATTCTGTAAGGTGTAACATGAGACTTTTAAGTAATGCTCTTCCTTCACAGGTGTTAGAACATATAACTGACACAATAATTTGGAGAAGCCTGCGTGCCAGTCTATTTTCAGCTATAGGTTAATTCAAAATGTTTCAGAAAAGCAAGATGAAAAATTTTTGCATCATCAACTGAAAACATTTCTGACCAATAAGCAATCCTAACTGGGACTGCTAAACATTATCCCCTTACCTTTCCCAAATCATCAAGGTGGCAGAGTTATTCCAAATTCTGTTTAATTTGATGCAAAATCTGCCACTTCTACCTACTCCTTTTACTCTTTACTAGTTTTAAGAATGTTCTTACTCCAGTCCCTATTCAGTTTTGAATCCAAGTAACAATAAAACTTCAGCAAGGGAAAGCTGAATTCAAATGTATGTATATGTAAATGAAACACACAAATTCAATTTTTAGAATGCAAAAGAGATCCTATTCCTGCAATTCATAATCATTAGTTTCCATTAACTGTCTACGAATTAATTAAAATTCTTATTAATAAATAATTAAAGATGAAGTTCTTAGTTTTACTCCCATTGTACCTGGCATCTTCTTGCTGTAATGCCAGCTGACTATCCAGTCGTAAAGACAACAGCTTCTTTTGATGGACTGCATCATTAAGTTTCTCTTCTAGCTCTTCAATCTAAATAGAAAGAATGTAAGTATAAAACAAAGACTGGAGCTTACTTTGGTAATTAAAAAAAACCAACAACTGTAGAAAAAGGTGGAGAGCCAATGCCGTAGGAAATGCAGTAACTGTTTAATAAGACCTCCAAATATGCCAAATAATAAGTTTCATAGATATGATACAGATTTTGCCCTAATGAACTAAAAGTAAAAAAGACCTAGCTCTAAACTTTATTGTTTTCAGCCAAATAGCTACTTGTTCAACTAACTTCAAACCAGGCTTAAATATAAAGCAGCAAGCCTGTGAAAGCCAGAATTAGTACATAGTAGGTCATAAATGTGGACTGCACACAGGTGTGGAAAAGCTTTAACAACCTTTCTCAGTTTCGTGCATCTTAGTGGCAACTGTACACAATAAAATCTCCTCCTATTAGCATGTTGGCATATTCTAGCCACGTCCTGATTAGCAGATCATCTAATAATATTCCGATTACTGTTCCTACTATTCCAAAGTAGAAAAGCCTTATTAAGCCGATTTTATCAGTGACAAAATTCTTCTTCATTTCTGAAAGAAAACAGGTCTTTTTCTTCTGTTTTTAGAAGAGAAAAACCTAAATCAACCCCACCTCATTCATTTGAAATGTTGAATGAACTTGCTCAGTCAGCTAAGTTTTCTGTATCTTTGTTTCCTTCTTTTCTCAAAAAAAAACAACCCAACAAAGAAAAAACACCAAAAATCCCTTCCAAAAACAACTAAGTAGACTTTCAGCAGGCAATTCACAGAATTTTTGGCAGAACATAACTTTCTATCATATTCCAAGAGCACCAGAAACAAGAAAAGACTATACAACAAAAGTAACAACATTTCTTACCTTGGTCAGATATTCTACTTTCAAATTGTCAATCATCAAGTTTTTCTGAGATAGTTCTATTTTAACCAGCTGAAGATTATGAAGCAACTCCTTCCGTTCAATCAGCTGCTTAGTTATTTTAACAGTACCTTCTCTCTCCTCTGAGGAAGAAATATCATCAGTTGGTACTGTGGTTTCTAAGCTAATATCTTCAGACTCGAAAGAGCTGGAAATGTTTACTTTCCTCATTTCCTTAGAGCTTTTAAGTGACATTTTATTCCGCTATTTGCAACGCTTTTTTATGTTGTATTTTCACATGAGCCCCCGAAGAATTAACTGCAAGAATCAGAACAATTAAGTGAAAGGCATTATGAAAAATTAAAAAGCTAAACAAGACCACTAAGCAATACTTCCCAGCATCACACGAATGTATTTATTTACACAAGAAAAACATTTTAAGAAGCTCAAGAAGTTGCCCAAAGAGTCTGTCGCTTAATTGTTAGCACGGAGTTTGACTGCAGTAAGCTAAATACCGATGTGAATCAAGCTTACTGGTAAGATGCTATAGGTAAATCAGGATGTACACCTGATTCACGCTTTCAGAAGAACATGCGCCAAAACTTCACAAGATCCATGAGCCATGCATATAGTATCAAAGAACATCCAACAACGAGCATTAACGAAGCTTGCTACAGAAAACAATACAGGAATAGAGTGACAGCCACTTTTGTCTTCTCTAAAGTAGCAGCTCTGGTACGCTTACCAGGCTAACTTACTCAACAGCCACACGTACTTTACAACCGCTCTGTACAGACCACGGCTTTTACTGCAGAGGTGCGCAGACTAACGCAAGCTGTTCAAAGCCCTGCAGAGAAAGGCAGTGCTGCGCTAACGCGAGGGGCGCCGAACCCGCCGGGGCTGGCTTTCCCAGGCCACTGCTCCTTCTCCACGGCACGGGGCAGCTCAATGGAGGATACGCCGGATGCCCAAGTCAGCGGAAGGCAACGGCTAGCAGGGTGTATAAGAGCGAGGAGAAGCTGACCCACCGGGCGAGGAGGGTTCTGCTCGGCAGCCACAGCTCCAACGCCGGGCCGAGCGCTCACTCACCTCAGACGGCGGCGACGCTCTCTTCCGCCTTCCCTCTGGGCGGTCGAGGCGGGGCTGCGCGACGCCATCACCACAGCGACCGGGCCGCCGGCGCGCGCCGCTTCCCGCGCTCTCTGCCGCGGTGTGTGCCGGGAGGAAGCGGCGGTGGGGGCGGGTGGTGTTCCTGCCCGCGGCGCGCGCCATGCAGACCTCGCGGACGTTCGTGAAGCGCACGCGGGCGGGCGCCGTCGTGAAGGTGGTGCGCGAGCACTACTTGCGTGACGACATCCCGTGCGGCGCCGCCGCCTGCCGCCTCTGCCCGCCGCGGCCCGACGCGACCGCGACCGCGCCCGCGCCCAGCCTTGAGGCGCGGCCCGGCGGTGCCGCCAGCAGCCTCTGCCCCGGTCCGCACTACCTCCTGCCCGACACCAACGTCCTGCTTCACCAGGTAAGCCGCGGGTGTCGTCTCGGGCCCGGGCCCCGGCACCGCTCTGAGCCTGGTCATGCGCCTCTCTGCTTCAGCCTCCGTTAAATCGTCTGGGTGGAAGGGGGCCCCTCAGGTGTTGGGTCCGGGCATCGTTCCTGGAGAGGCGTGGATAACGTCAGCAGTGAGTACGCCGGCGGGCTCGGGCCTTCCTGCTGTTAGTGGTGTCCGGGACAGGTTGGTTTCTCTGTGCCTGCATGATACTGAGGAAGCTTTCATCATCGCCGGATCAGGTCTGATCTTAGACTGTATTCCGGTTTTGTATTTTGCTGCCTCAATAGTGGGAATAGAGAACTTGTTCCATAGGATCATAGAATTCTGGTTGGGAGTAACCTCAGTGATTGTCTGGTCCAACCTCTCTTCGCAATGCATGAGCTAGATGGCATGTCACAGCACTCTGTCCAGCCAAATCTTAAAAGTTTCCAACCATGAGGAATCCACCACTTTCCTGGGGAGATTATTCCAGTGGCTGATTGTTCTCATCGTGAAAAATTTTCTGATGTGTCCCACCAGAGTCTTGTCAGAAGTAACTTAGACCCATTACCCTTTTCCATTTTACTCGTGGTAAAAAGGCAGTCTCCATCTTCTTTGTAGCCACCCTTTAAATACTGAACAGTATTTATTTATTCGCTGTTTGTACTCTGATACAGGTATGGAAAGTTAAGCTAGAATGGTGTATAGACTGAAGCAGCATCAGGATCTTCAGGTGGTTACTGCATTTTCCTGAATACCTATTCCATTTTTCAGACCTGTTGTAGGCTTTGGTTCTTCATACTGTGATGCTGATTTCAGGTAATGAATAGAGGCTGCCAAATCATCCCATGTGCAACCCTGGAAGCATGGGATGAACTTTATTCTGCAGCCCATTCCTAGCTGTGCAAAGGCTTGAGCCTGGGCAGTGCAGACAGTAAAATTTCAGGCTGGGAGAATTCCTGATCTTGATTATTTTCATTGTTTGGTGTTTTTTTGGTGGGTTTTTTTTTGATTGCTTTGGAATGCTTGGAAAATAGAATAGCCCTGTGCCAACATTGGAGACTGGAAATAATTCATGAATCCTAACGTAGATTACTCTGGAGAGGAGCACAACACTCACTCACATGCTTCAACTGTTGCTCATCCTGAAAGTTGTAAGAATTTTTTTCCCAAAACAGCAAACCGAGGGATGCTTTCAGCCTGTTGCCCACAGACTTCTTGGTGTCTGTTGGCAAAGTTTGTATATACGTAGCGTAGAACACTCTTAAGAATGTGCCAGGGTATGCTGCCATGAACTGGAGCAGCAGGATTAGAAAGCCTTGGTAACAGCAGGAAAAGGTTTTACCCAGCAACTGGAGTATGATTGCAACAGTAAGACTTGGCCTGGTAATTCATCTTGTGCATAGAATAATACTTGATTACTTGCCCTAGGAACATGGCTCTTGCTCTGTATGGTCATTTAAACATCAGATGAAGAGGAGCTTGGATTGCAGTTCTTTTAGCCATGCCCTCTAGAGCCTTACTGCTGTCTTGTGCCTTGGCAGGGGGTTTAGGATAGGTGATCTCCAGAGGTCCCTTCCAACCCTGATGGTTCTATGATTCTGTGATTCTGTCTTATTTTGGAGATGGGTTTGTACAGTTCCTTGCCAAAAGCTTAGGAAATGAAGCTCACATCTTTTTCTCCTGATGGGCTGCAAGGATGTTAGGTGTAGAATTCTCTCTGTTGCGTGTCATGGCTGTCAGGAGTTGGCAGAGAAAAGTGCTGAAAAATCTTAAACACATTTCCTCAAAAAAAATAGGTCTTTGAAAAGGTGAAGAGCAGCTAACAGAATTGCTGGTGAGTTGAATCTGCAGAAATGAAAACTGGAGGGTAACAGTGGGATTGGTTTTGGAGAACTTAAGCCTACACATGCCACAGGCATATCTGTGTTAGCTGTGTAACAGTGATTAGATACTATTTTATGGTTTGCATTGTTCACAAAGACATATGCCAGAAAGCCTTTTAAACTATGTTGGATTACCATCAAATTGCATATAGATTCGGTTTACAAAGGTAATAATTACAAGAACCTGTCCTATGTAAACCAGATTTCTAGTGTACATGCGGCCTTAGGTTTGATTGGAGTACTGCACATGTTGAGGCTGAATTTGGTGAAAATCAGGATAAGTCATCCTCTTCATTCCAGCAAAATTCAGGTACAAAGAGGCTGGAAAATCCTATTTGAACTGTTTAAGTCCTGTTATTGGATAGAATTAAACAACAGTTTTTATTCCTTTCCGTTTTGTTCTTCAGATTGATATACTTGAAGATCCTGTTATTAAGAATGTCATTGTGCTACAGACAGTCTTACAAGAAGTCAGGAATCGGAGTATACCGGTATACAAGCGAATTAGGGACGTGATTCAAACCCCTGAAAAACATTTCTATTCTTTCACCAATGAACATCATAGGTAAGGTATGGAACAGGATGTAACAATTGCGCTGCTAGCCAGTGAAAGAAACTGGGAAACAGAACTGCAGCATTTGAACTAGGTAAAAAAATTAGGCTGGGGTGCATAGAACTGTATACTTGTAAGGAATCCTCTTGGGAAATAGTTATGTGGTCTGTAATTAATATAAGCTTATATATATTATGAAAAGGTGTTTAGAATAATGAGTGAGATTTACAAACAAAACTTGCCCTGAGATACAGAATACTGATTTTCCATTTTAGTGTCCTTTTTAAACATATTCCAATTTTTTGTTAATACTGCCAGCTCAGTCTGTAGCAGAATAAAAAACAAAAAAAAAAAAAGGTTGGTGAGTTAGTGACAGAAAGCTCTTAAGAAATAAACATGCAATTAATTTGCCCTTTTTTACCCTCACAAGCAGTTTCCAATACGCAGTATTGTAGTTTTGGAATCTTGAATCCATAGTTACAGCATCTTGAATGCAATTCTCTTCAACAGTCAGTTGCAAAGGTTATGTTAGAAACTAGCTCTTCCTTCCTATTTTTCTTTACCTTTGTGTCTCCTGACCTTCAGTGGCCTGTAGAGTATTACACATACAAAAACTGGTATAGCAGTGATTCTTTTGGCCTCAGTCTTGCTTGTCTGAAAAATTTTTGTAAGTATGGATAGATGTTAAGATTTATTTTGTTTCATTTATGTATTTATTTATGTGTATGTTTTCATGTATTTAGAGAAACATACATAGAGCAGAAGAAAGGAGAAACTTCTAATGACCGCAATGACAGAGCCATTCGGGTAGCAGTAAAATGGTATGGTGAGCACTTGAAGAAAATAGAGGACGAGGAGAAGACTCAAGTTATCTTTTTAACAAATGACAGAATTAATAAGGAGAAAGCTCTAGAGGAAGGGATAACTGCTTATACATGTAAGTAAAGTGATATGCATGTTTAATTTATTCCTCAGATAAACAATCTCAGCAGTCTCTTCATACCTAAATCTGGTGCATCTCTTGCATAAATTTTATGTGTGTGCTTTTGTAGGTGAGGAATATATAAAAAGCTTGGTAGCTAATCCTGAGCTTGTAGATCGTCTTGCTTGTGTATCTGATGAAGGGGTATGTTTTTATTTTCTTTTTATAAAATAAATTAATCACAAATGGTTTGCAGTATGTTATTGGACACTCTGTCAGGCTACTAGCATCAGTTTAGAATATGAGGACTCTGGGTGTAGTACCAATTTGCCAATACAAACTTTTGACAACTGAAAAGAAAGGGAGATACACTGTAGCAGTTTTTACTGCTGCTTATGTGTCTATTAGTAATTGTCTTGTTATTCGTAAAAGGCTACTTGCTTTAGGTAACTGATATAAAGATGAGAGTAGTAACGGTTAAAGAAAGTATATAAATATTTTAAAAAACGGAAACAAAATGAAAAGTGGGTATTGCAAACCATTTCAACCTCTGCTTTGTATCTGTTATTTGAAAGTTTATGTTAACTTCCTGATAAATTTCTGTGGTCATATAAGTTACCCTAAGTGTAGGCTGCAGCTCAGACATGAGCTACATCCTCTTTTATTTCCTTGTGCTTTGTGTTTATCACAATCAAGACTGATATAAATAAAAACTAACACCAAAAAATGGGAAGGTTAATTTTATTAGAGGTAGTCCTGTCAGAATAGGGTGGGACAGGCAAGAATAGGAAGAAAGTGGAGGGCTCAGTTGATCTGCTCAGCAGTTCATTGTCTGACATCTCCAAAGTTTTAGTCATGGTAATATATTTTCATAATATTTTATATAGTTTATATTATAAGCTTGTACTGTGTGCCATGCTCTTTACCATGTAATGCTAGCATACGCAAGTCAGCATGAAAGTGTGTGTCACTTGGGCAGTATCTTTTTTAGTAACTGCAGGCAAACAGGAGAAGAAAAGAAGGCATTCCTGTAATTGCCATGTTTCTGTGTTCTTTATGCTTTTTATACTTAACTAAAAAAATACTGCTTAATAGTTGTTTTTTATTACTGTGTATATTCATATCTAACACAGTAATTATTTTAGAGTTTGTTAGCTTGAGTGTCACGTTCTTGAGTTGGTTTAGGAATAATCATGAATAAAAGACTGAAAATTTCTTGTTTTTTGTTGCTGCTATTTTTGTTCTGTTTCATTTTGGTTTTTTTTATTTGGCTTTTTTTAAGAAAGAAATAGAAAATGGAAAAATAATTTTCCCAGAACATATTCCTCTTAGCAAATTGCAGCAAGGGATAAAATCTGGTAATTACCTCCAAGGAACTTACAGGGCAAGCAGAGATAATTATCTTGAAGCTACTGTTTGGGTTCATGGAGATGCTGAAGAAAAAGAGGTAAGTTTTTTATTTTACCTTCATGCTGTGAACTTTTAGTTTGCCTCAGTAATGACTTAAAATGCAGTTCTTTCATAGTGACGTATTAAAATGAGCATTATAGTAATTTTTCCTTTTCTGATTTTTTTCTGATGTTTTACTTTGTATGGATATAGGTTACTGAAATGCTGACTGTGCTGTTAATACTTTTTTAGTTGACTAATGATTTCTTTTTTTATTAGTTTGAAATACATGATAAAATACACACATAAGTTTGTAAGAGGATTTTCAGAGAAACTGTGATGAACCCTTGTGAGGCTCTCCTGCTTTATTTCCCCTAATATTTTCACACCTGATGATGAGCAGATGGATTCTTTCCCTCCAGGCAGTTATCCCACCTGTCTACCTGTTGGTACAGCTGTCCTGTTTCAAGCAGCAGTGCTTACCTCCTCTCTTCCTGTTTGTGGTGGCAGCTGGAGATGCTTCCCTGGCTCTCCATTTCTTTTATTCCTGTTTTCCAGTAGTATATGGAGTTCCGTAGCCTGCAAAGGTAGAAGGATTGTATGATTATAAACAAAACATCTGTGGAAAGCACATTATTTTTGTGGAGGCAGTTGGAATCCTGAAATAATATAAATACTGAAAGAAACCAAGGCAGAGGAAAAAAATGCATCACAAACATACCTTAAAATGTTCTTTAGAGTGCAGAGTCTGTTACACATGTATACTCTTCTGATACACTGTTTTGATATGGGTCTTCTGTTGCTGTCATTGTGAATATTTACTTTTTTTTTTTTTCTAAAAAAAAAAAATCCAGATAATTATACAAGGATTGAAACATTTAAATCGAGCAGTTCATGAAGATATTGTAGCTGTGGAGCTGTTGCCAAAAAATGAATGGGTGGCACTGTCCTCAGTGGTCTTGCAAGATGATGGCCAAGATGAAGATGACGTTGAAATAGAGGAGGAGAAAGAAAACATTGTATGCAATAATAACTTTTCACTTTACTCTTATGTTAAGAGAGATTAAATCTGCATTACCCTGACAGTGCTAGGTTTTAGATTTATACATCCTTTTTATACTATTGTGAATACATAAACTATGAAACTTAATTGTAGTCGTACAGTTGCATTAATTATATGATTATGTCTAAAATTGATACTTTCTAATTAATCCCAATCATAAATTGCCATGTTTCTTTGTTAAGCTTTAATAACTCCAAAAGTTCCTGGGTGGTGGTCAGGTAATATAAAGCTATGTACTGATGTGCACATTAGGATTTGCTAGGATAGGAGGAGGTGTTGTGTCAGGGTGATGGTCAGCTTTTACAGGCAGTGCATACATTTGGAACCAGCTGAGAAATCTTTAGCTTCTTGCAGTAATCCTTCTCAATGTTCATGCAGTGCATACACATGTATACCCTGTCCAACAAATACTTATATGTCTTTAAAAACGTGATCTTCCCACAGGTAATGTTTTTTAATTATTTGATTTAGATTTACTGGAGAATTTTCAAGCAATATAAGAGGGTTCCTGAAAATTAATTTTTTATTTTTTATTTAAGAATATTGATATAGTTGTGGAGTAAGCAGAGACAGTGGGACAAGGTAGCATTTCTTTACCTTTTTTCTGCTGTTCCTTGATTTTCTGCAATAATGTCCATTAAAAAAAAAACCCCACAACTACAACAGAGTAGTCAGGTCACATACTAAAAATACTAAAAGACATGCAAAGCACAGGGAGGCGTATTTCTGCTTATGAAGTCATAATAGAATTTACAATGTTATAGTGAACCGAAGATGTTACTACCAAGGTTTGAGATACATGCTGTAGTCAAGCATGTTAACATGGGTTCAAAGATTTTTTGTGGTTTTAATTAACCCTTGTATGTTCTACCAGCTGAAGACTTCTGTTAGCAAGGACATGCTGAGACCTACAGGAAAGGTAGTGGGCATTATAAAACGAAACTGGCGACCACTTTGTGGCATGCTTTCCAAGTCAGAGATCAAAGAGGTAAGGAAACAATGCAGTTACTGTAAGCGCAGATGTTCGGGGTTTTGTTATTTTTCTCTCTAATTGAAAATTAATTGTTCCCTTTTCTGGCTGTTAATAGGCAAGGCGCCATTTGTTCACACCAGCTGATCGCAGAATTCCTCGCATTCGAATAGAAACAAGACAAGCAGATAAATTGGAAGGACAAAGAATAATTGTTGCTATTGACGGCTGGCCCAGGAATTCCAGGTATCCTAATGTAAGTTTAAGCTTTTTCTTATGAACTTTTTTCTATCTGATTTTTATGTGTTATTAGGTAAGGTGTTTATTATCTGCAATGCTGAGTAACTTCAAAAAGTGCTGATGTGAATTTTGAGTGCCATTTGATGGTGCCAATTAAGGAAGTCCCTAAATTATTTAGCTCATTCTTACCCCCCCAAAAAGATACAGGTTTATCATACTGTAACAGGTCACTCCGCCAGTTCTTCAGTGAACTTACATGTGCTAACTGAGGTGCTTTATTTAGACTAACCAGGGACCACTTTGTTTTAGTCTGGGTTCCTAGAAATGCGAATCTTTTGCTGTGACTTTGCTCATTCACAGACTGATCACTGTCTTGGCGAGTAGTTTTAAACAGCTTGGCCAAATTCAGTCAAGTTGACAGTGGGGCTGAGTTACAGGTAATGAAGTTCTTGAAAGATCTTTGGAAATAAATAGGAGGCTGTAAGGGAAAATGAGGACTAGCTTTAATTTGCATTGAAAACAAAGTAGGTTTTAAAGAGGCTTCCGTTGGCTTGCATGGGAATGCATAGCTTGTAATGAATGAGAGTACAGGTGTCACAAGTTTAGAGAAATGAAGGAAACTTGGAATATATAGAATGACTGCTAAGGGGAAGACAGCATTATGGCAGAGGATGAGATGTGAGAGATGAGAGGAATGAAACAATGCTGATATGTTATTAGGGAGTGGACACAACACAAACCTGTAGAGAATTTAGACCTTCACTAGTTTTGCTGCTTATGCAGCAATCTTTATTCTTAACTGCAAAACTTAATTGCCGTGTTTACAATTTTGCAGTTTTAACTCTGGAGAATTTTATTGCCATTCAGGGAAAAGAGGGGGATGTACACATTTCAGACTTACTGAATCAATTAAATGTTTGAAATTAAATTTCTCTGTTAAAGCTGAGACAGCTAGCTGAAGAAATATTATTCATACTGTTAGCTTAATATACTAATAACCTATGAAATAATGGTCTCGAAATGCTTCTGAGCTAACAGTGTTGCTTGATGTGCATGTGCGCATGTGTGCATATTTGTATGTGTGCATATTGTTTCTCAGGGTCATTTTGTAAAGAACTTGGGAAGTGCTGGAGATAAAGAAACCGAGACAGAAGTTCTTCTGCTTGAACATGATGTCCCTCATCAGCCTTTTTCCCAGGTTGTCCTTAGTTGCCTACCAAAAATGCCATGGAGCATTACAGAACAGGTAATAATTTTTAAATCATTGTAATAATACAATACAACTTCAATTATTGCAATAATACAATCTACTTCAGATTGAGTTGTGATGCTCTTGGATAACCTAGTGCATCAGAAATAGAGGAGAAATGTCCAGAACAATTTTATCTCAGCGTAAATTTTCAGTTGGATTTCTTATGGAGACAAAGGCTCTGCAAATTTTGAGGGTGTGGCTAAAATTATTTGTTAGGGACAGACATTTTAAGATAAAAAGCACATTATAGGTGTCATTAAAAATAAAAATGTAGATTTATTTTTTTTCAAAGGAGACTACAATTCAGATAATTGTAAGGTCATCACTAAGAGTTTTCCATTTTGCCCAATAGCTTTGTAACCGAATGTGGCAGCCTGTGTCATCAGTAAAATAATCTGAGGAGACTTCAATATATTCCTGCTATAATCCAGTAAAGTAATTGGAGAGATTAATGTTTGCAGAATTGCATATTTTAAATGTAATTAGTGAATTTCAGGTTCTGCCCAGTAGCTTAAATATGGAAAACAGTTACTTTAGAATGTATAAAAAAAAATGTCATCAGGGAACAATTTGAGCATGATACGGTTTTGGATTGGGCTGGGCTACTGTTTGAGTTTTGGGTGGTTTTGGTTTTGTTTGTGCATTTTGTATATTTTAATTTTGCTGGGGTGGACTGCTTTTATTATAATTTATTATCTACTTTTTGGGGGGTGAAAGAGGCATGTTTGTAAATTAGCTCTCTAAACGTCGTCTGTCTACTCTAAGATACCTGAGATCTTTCGGTAGCCATTTTACAAAGGTAAATATTTCCAGTGTGCAATTCCTTTTAACTGTTGAGAAAGCTAAGCCTTTAAAAGCTAGAATTGAGAGCAGTCACGTTCTAAACAAATAGTCCAGCTGGACATCAGCCAAAATGTCACTTAAATCTGGTTTCCTGGTCGCGATCATGAGAAGATTGAAGTTGTGTTCTGTTTGTCTTCCTGTTTGCTGTAAAAAGAACAAATACAAGTATTTGATCATCTTTTGACTTAGTTTTTGTCACTGTAGTTCCTGCACATCTGTTTTGATCTTATAAATAAATACTATTGCAAATCTTGTCCTAAAACAAAAAAAAAAAACAAACAAAAAAAGCACTCTGAAAATACTTGGTTGGTTCGGAAAATCTTATGTGAACTGCTTTTCCCAAGGGATCATTTTTACTTTGATACAGAAAATGTTCTTGAAAACAATTTTAAGTTTTTTTGGATTTTTTTTTGTTTGTTTTTTTCTTCAATTTCAGGATATGCTACACAGGGAGGACTTAAGGCATCTGTGTATTTGTAGCGTTGATCCTCCTGGCTGTACAGATATTGATGATGCATTACATTGTAGAGAAATAGAAAATGGAAATATAGAGGTATTGTCTTTCTCTCACTCTATTATTATCTGGTCATCTATTTACATTTTCCTTTATTTCACAAACAGTGCAGTAGTGATAATAGTAAATGACATGAGCAGAGCTCCAGATCTGTTGTAAAAGAAATGAATAGTGTTCACACAACTGCAATAAAGAAAGGGAACTGAGTTGCATTACATCAGTGTCAGAAGTGGGATTTTTCTAAATTCACCCTGCTTTCTGCTCATTTGGCATGGGAAATGAACATAAGACTTAATGGCTGCTTTAGCTAAGTATAAACACGGATATCTACAGCTAGAATAACTATCAGTGGAAAAAGTGAAGCTACTGTTGTGATGCCTAAGGAATTGCTATTTTATTAAAAAAAAAAAAGGGGGCATTAAAACCCTACAGCACTCAACCTTAACCTTAACACCAGCACTCTACCCCCTTATATCTGATTTAGTCAGGTTTTCTTCCTTATAAATTCATCTGTAGCTGTACTCGCTGGGTGTGCAAAAATGGAAGGTCTTTCAAACAGAAAACCAAAAACACTTTTTCAGTGAGCCTTTGAGAAAATGACAGAGGTTATCTGAGCCCCCATGCAGGAAGGGTTGCACTGGAAATGAATATAACTTTCCACTGAATGTATGGACACTCTTATTTTGTGTAATTGCTGCAACTATTTATTTTTTTAATATCAACATGATAGATTTTAACTATTCCTGTTACTGGATATAGGGGCTGCTGAAGGGAACTGGCAGTGGGTAAATTGGGTTGTAAATAAAAACTTGAGGGTGCCTTTCATGATAAGAACTATATTTTCTATGATGCTGTTTTTTAGGTTGGTGTACATATTGCAGATGTCAGCCATTTCATTCGTCCAGGAAATGCTTTGGATGAGGAATCAGTAAAAAGAGGAACAACAGTGTA